CTGGAGGCAGAGCCAGGCTGGCTCTCGGGGGTCCCGCTGGGGTGTCGGGGCGGGGGGGAGGCCCTGAACTCCCTGCGCAGACTTTAATCCCTGCATGACCTCAGATTTCTCCCAAGCTCAGTGAGTTCCCTCATCGATGAAGTGGAACCATAATCATCTTTTTGGGTGTAAATAGCAAAAACGCACTCAAGGTGACGTATTCGCACAGTCACTCTGCAGATTTGGGGAGGGAATTGGAACCTCATGAGTCAGGACCACAGCCTGCTCTCTCGGGGCACTTGTGTCCTTCCGCTCCCCCTCCTGGACCGGCTCCTCTGACCCTCCACACACATAGCCGGATGTGCCGCCCTGGCTGCAGGTCAGCACCCACGTGTCTCCCCAAGGTCAAGTGACCAGCAGGGCCTGGCCAGTGTCCAGGTCCCAGTGACATTTCCCAGGAGACCGAGCTGATGGCCCAGCGTGGGGCACACGGTCACCACCCGCCTCAGCAAGCTGTGGCCAGAGAGGTAGCAGTAGAAGGTACGAATGCAGCTGCCAGGCGTGTGGCTCAGGGACAGGACACACAGAGGAGGAGGTGCTGAGCTGGTACCCCAAACCCTGTCAGCTGCAGCAGTGCACTCCTGCAAAGATGCCGTGGACTGCAGGGTGTGAGAGACAGCAGAGACGTGGGGCTCAGCAGTTGGGGGTGACGGGACACATCCCTGCCCAGAGAGAGACGTGATGGTAATAGCAGACCCGGCCTTGACCCTGACCCTGCAAAGTATTGGTGCTGGGATCGGGCACGACCCCTCTCCCAGCCTCAGTTTGCTCATCTTCAGAGGTGGGGCCCACACCTGTGGGGTTGGCGCGAGGCCTCAGAGAGGGGCACCCGCCTGACAAGGGCTAGACCTGACGATGGGGTGCTGATGCCCTCTGGGCCTGGGAGGCCCTGGGTTCCCCATGGCAGGCAGTGGGCATGTGTGACTCTCGGCCGGGATGGGGACCAGTCGCCAGAGTGATGCACAGGGACCTGACGGGTTGCTGGGTTTGACTGGATCACCGGTAGTGGCCCTGCCCTTCTCTGGGCCTCAGTTCCCTTGTTTGCAAAGTTGGGGTCCCTTTGCCTGTTATACCCTCCCACGGCCACTCTGAAGACTAGGGAGGGCTGCCTGGGGTCCGCTGCACTGCCTGCTTTGCGGTCACTCCAGGGCCAGGCTGAGGGGAGCGTGGTGCCCACCGAGCCCTGCCAGAGTGTAGGGGGTGGGGGAGTCCGGCCCGGCGCTCTGCAGACGGCTGCCTGCTCTGCTTTGCCTCACCTCAGCGAGAGCGTGAAATGCATCTGGACAGCAGGCCTGGCCCCGACCCAGCGTCCCCCCACCGGCCGCCTCATCTGCACACCCAGCTCCCTGGATCGGGCCCCGGTCGGCCTGCACCCTCGGCATGGCTGGCGGGCCAGCTGGCCTCAGCTGCCCTAGGGGCCAGGGCAGGTCAGAGCTACCCGGCAGGGCGCCCAGGAATGTGGGGGTCCCGGGCTCCTGCTCTGTCTGTCTGTGTGGCCTGCACTCTGTCTTCCTGACTCCGGCCCTGTCGGTCAGGCTGTCTGGGTCTGCCTGTCTGCGCCTCTGTCTGAATTTGGAGCGGTCTGTGAGTCTGTGTCTCCTTGTCTAATCGCTTTGGGTCTATCTGGATCTGCCTTTCTCTCTGTCTGTCTGTCTGTCTGTCAGGGGTCTGGGCTCCTGACCCAGCTTTGCCTGTGACACAGAGGGCTGCCTCCATGTCAGTACATGCCCACGTCCCCCTCTATCTGTACACAGGAGTCCCGGTCACCCTGACTGGCCGTGCTGCCTCCCAGGCCACTTGGCCCTGGCAGACAGGTCTGCAGGGAACCACTATGCCCCAGGCCTCTCATTGTGCAGGGACCCCTTCCCAGCACCCCGCCCCAGCACAGGGGCTCAGCCTCTCACACCGGACCCACCAACCGCCCAGACCTGGAGTCTCTGAACGAAAACCCCGTCTGTCAGTTATTCTCACACATTCCTGGAAGAGGAAAAATTGGCCCAGATTCCAGCAAGTCTTTGGCAGGGTTTAGCAAAAACTTTAGAAACATGCCCACCACAACTCTTCGCTGCATATTCCTGTAACCACGAAAAGTGGGAAGCCACACAGATGCCCACCCGTGGGGCCTGGCCGAGTGAGCAGGGCCCCTGAGCACACACAGCCGTGGGACAGAGTGGGCGGGCTCTGTTCCAGGCTCTGCAGGGACCCCTGGGGTCATCCGAGTACCCACGGAGATACGAAGATACGATAGATCTGGGGATAGACTTCGGGGTGAAACAAAGGAATGCAGAAAGTACATGTAGAGAACGCCGCTTCGGCTTAAAAGGGGGAAGGAAATGTATATTTGCTTATATTTTTAGAATGAAGCAATGGAAGGACAAACCCAGAACCAAGAAAGACTCATCCCTCTGGGCAGAGTGGGGGACGGGCAGGCATGGACGCAAGGCCTCTCTAAATGCACCTGATTTTATACTCTTGACTTTAGAGCCAAGTGTTTTCTACAACTAAAAATCAAAATTAAACCATTTTTTTTTAAAAAAAGATGAACACCAACTGGATTAAATGGACGGAAGTATTGATTTGGTGGGAAAATCATATGAAGAATTATTTCAAGTGGCTTTGAAACAGCTTTTACTATACATCCCTAAAGGGATAAGAACAACAACAACAAAAATCAAATTCTATTCAGTAGGCATGTTAGTAAAAACATTGGTAATGTTATTTTTAAATTATTATACATAATGGGGAAATGCAAATAGGGAATGAAGTGTATGTTATTAGAAAACAAGATCATCACTGTAAAAGTCATATAGACATCAAACGTTAACCAGTAAATACCATGAAATCTCTCATTTTAAGTGGAAATATCAGTATGAACTCATGTTTCATTTTCCTCTGGCTAAAAAAAAAAGAAAAGGTCCTCTCAGCTCTGGTCACTGAGAAGCCTAGAGCCAATGGAAACCCTGGAGCAGGGAGCAGACCGACAGCCCAGTCTGGATTCTGCACAAACCACTTCCCACTAAGAGACCCAGGAGTCGCTGAGGAACAACAGGTCCCAGGTCTGGGGCAAGACGAGCGGGACATCTTGTGCCTAAAAGTAAAATGTCCTGAAGGATTAGTGGGGAGTCGCATCAAAATGACACAAGAGCCAACTTGGAGGGGACTCCAAACCCACGGCTCCACTGGGGCCCTTTGAACATCAAAAAGAGTAAGGGCTGCAGTGGATTGAAGCACATCGAATACAGAAAGGTCAGGAGATCACAGCGATGCTATGAAACAACCACAAACCTCGTGGGGCACCAAGCTACCCTGAAAATTGGTAAGTTAAGAAGTGCGCGTCCATGCCTGCCCTCTGCGGACTGTTTTAGGATAATCATCTGGTGATTGGGAAAGCGTCTCAGAGAAGACCGGAGCTAATAAATGCAGAAGAAATGATAGCCCTTGAAAAGCCAGTGTTTGCCACCCCTCATGAAATCATGGACGCAGGCAATGATCCCCAGTGGCTTTACAGCAGAAGAATTGGGCAGACAGCAGCTGAACCCACTGCTTGCTTATTCTCCACGTCACGACAGCAGTCCCAGGGCCCGGAGAGTGATGTGATAGGAAGCCAGCTCAGAGGACGCAGCCGTGATAGAGGAACATGTTCAATGCCACATGAGGAAACCCAGCCAGCTCCAGTACATGGAAAATTCTATAAGACGAATAACCCAGTTTCTTCTATAAACACCATGGGGCAGGGAGGGGGCGGAAAGTGAGTGGGAAATAAACTGTCCTGCAGTGAAAAGACCAACCACAACTGGACCCTGATTTAAACCAACTGTAGAAAGTCATTTTGGAGATGGCTGGAGCAGGTTAAACACAGACTGGGTCTTTCTTAAGGTCCTCACCTGGCAGATTTTACACTGAAGTACTTATGATATGCTCTGGGCTTTCCTTTAAAATACTCCAACTGCCCCACGCCCCACCCCTACACCATCCCTCTGCAAAAAAAAAAAAAAAAAGAAGAAGAAGAAGAAGGGGTGGAAACGGAGGCAGTGCGTGTGGGAGCCAGCTCCTACCTACGGGTTGGTGAGAGATCATTTGCTAACCACCCAGGCGTTTTGCAAGGCAGTCGGCTGTTAGCCTTGGTAACTTGAAACGGCCATGGTGAGAATTCTGACGCCTCAAACATCAGCAAATGTTACAAGTCAGGATGCTTTTATCCTGAGAACTGGTTTATCAGCACCTGGCTGGAAAAGCTACCAAGAGTGCAGCTGGCGACAGCATTGTTCATTCTCTCCACTTTTGTTTGGGTGACATTTTCCACAAGAAAGAGTTTACAAAGGGCGTGTCCTTAGGCCTAGACATCCCATGTCTAAGAATGTACCCTGAAAAAGTCATTGAACTGCATTCTGCCATTCACGTGGCTCCAATTATAATACTTAGCTACGAAAACATTTATTAAAACGTTGGCTTAAAAGATATTTTTAAAGGTAAGTAGCCTACATATCAAAAAGGGATGGGTTTTGTTTTGAAAGATGAAGAGGTCCTGGAAATGGGTTGCACTACAGTGTGACTATACTTAATGCCGCTGAACTTGACGCTTAAAAATGGCCACGATGGCAAATTTTATGTTACGCACATTTTACCACAACATTTTAAAGAGAAGGGATCAGTTATGTTATACAAGGGCACAGGGTTAGAAATTAAGTTGCAGAAGAAAATTTAATGATGTGGTAAAATAAGGGTGATCTTGTTAGGTGAAGAAGCAGTTTATAAAACCATGTGCTCGGCCGGGCTGCTTTTGGGTGAGTTTGAAATGCATGAACTCGTACAGCCAGGCTGGAAGGGCGCCATTCACTGAGCGCGCCCTATGGGATGTGATTTTCCCCTTAACCTGTGTCTCCTCAGCTTTCTAAACTAGAACAGGTGACTTTTGCAATGAGGAAGCTATGATGCGGTGAGGCTGGTGGTGTGTGTTGCAGGCTGTTGATGGAGAAGGGGGCGGATGACAGCCGGGACAGTGGTCATCACCGGGGGCATCTTGGCGACTGTCATTCTACTCTGCATCATCGCGGTTCTGTGCTACTGCCGGCTGCAGGTACCAGAGGAGGGGCGAGGGGAGAAGCCCAGAGGGTGCCCTGCAGAGGGTGGGAGCCCCTCTTGAGGGCTGGAACCCAGGAAGCGGGGAGTGGGAAGAGTCAGGTTTTGAAGAAGGTGCAAAGCAAACCACTCTGTTGGGGCTCAGTGGCCTGTGGGGGCTCACCATGGCTGCCTGGCTCACCTTGCCCAGGGTTTCCCAAACACTGAGGCTCAGAGAGGGTAAGGGACTTAGCCAATAGCACACAGCTGTCAAGGGGAGAGCAGGGGTGAGCACTGGGCTGTGCTACTCACCCCTGTGCTCTCCCTTCCCCACCCACATGCTGGGGCCCTCTGGGGCCCCTGCATCTACCCGAGAGGAGGGAGGCCTCCCATGCAGGCCGAGGCCGTAGAGCTCAGAGCCCATGAACTAGGCTGAGGCCAGACTGCCTGGGCTTGAACCCCAGCCGCTTTCAGGCTGCCTGACCCCTCTGTGCCTCAGTTTCCCCACCTGCAAAATGGAGATGGTAATCGCACCTGCCTCCTGTTTCTTTGCGAATAAGCCGAGTGAATCCCTCAGTGCAGAATGTTCTGCAGGGTTCCCCTGAGGGAGCTCCCCATAGGAGGTGGCCACAGGAACCAGGTCTGAGTCGGGCCCAGGCCGGGGCGGCGCGGTGAGCCGTGGATGGGCCCCGGTTCACCTGCCCTCTGCCCACAGTACTACTGCTGCAAGAAGGACGAAGACCAGGAGGACGAGGAGGAGCCCGACTTCGCCGTGCACTCCAGCCTGCCGCCGCTGCACGCCCATCGCAGCCTCGTGCTGACCAACGGGCCCGCGCTCTACCCGGCCGCCTCCACGTCCTTCAGCCAGAAGTCCCCACAGGCCCGGGCCCTCTGCCGCAGCTGCTCCCACTACGAGCCGCCCACCTTCTTCCTGCAGGAACCCGAGGACGAAGGCGTGCCCAACGGCGGGGAGCGCGTGACCTACAAGAGCTTCAGCCAGGAGGACGCCGAGCTGCCGCCCGCAACCTTTGGGGGTCTGCAGGCGCTCAACCCTAACCGCCTCTCGGCCATGCGGGAGGCTTTCTCACGGAGCCGCAGCGTCAGCACCGACGTCTGAGCAGCCCCTGCCCGCGGCAGGTCCTAGACCATGGAGGGGTCCCCGTGGCATGCCAGCCTGGCCCCAGGCCTGGACCTGAGCTTGGCCCAGCCTTTCTCGCATCCCTGTCATCACGGGGGCCCCAGGCTTGGGGGGCCTTGGGCCCCGCCTTCTGGGAGCTCCGGGGCCCATTGTAGGGGTAAGGCGCAGTGAACGCAGGCGCGGCCGGGGTTCGGGTCACCGGGGCTGGAAGGGAGGTGGGCATGACGTGGTGCAGCACAGGTGAGCTGTAACGTCCAGGTGTGAGGGCTGCAGAGCGAGGCGGGGCTCCTGACACCACACTGCTGTTAGGACAGGTGCGATGGAAAGCAGTTCCCGTCTCAGCCCCAGCTGCTCTGTGCCTGCGTGGCCCAGATGTGGGGGCCTTAGTCTACCTACCTGTTCAAGGAAGGGTGGCCATGGCAGTACTTGGGGCCCTGCAGCCAGACTTCTCTGGCAATTTCAGACCAATTATTTTGTCCCTCTAACCAGAACGGGAGGCCTCTGTCTCCTGTTCACATACACACACACCTCTGGCTTCAGTGCCAGGCGGCTGAGACACAGGTTGAACTGGCCTCTCTTTAGACCCCCTTAGAAGGCAGTTACAGGGGCGCCTGGGCCTTGGGGACGCACAGCCCCAGCTGGCTTTTTTGTGAAAGAAGGAGAAAGAGGCCGTGTCCAAACCGCTTGCTTCGTGAGTGCCCGTTCCTCAGCCCTGACTTGGGTGGGTGGACAGACGCGTGGACCAGGGGCTAAAAGACCACTAACCCCCCATAAGACCTGAGACGGGCCCTCCCATCCCTGGGCCTCAGCCTCCGGGAGCCCCAGGGGAAACAGACCCGGGCTGTCCCCCTGCCACCTGCTCCGCAGGAGGATCTGGGAGCGAGGCCCTGGCCCCCCTGCTCTGCTCCTGCTCCGTGTGCCCACTCTCCACCAAGCTCCCAGCAGGACTGGGGTCTCCCCAGGAACCCACTCTAGGCTCCCTCAACCCGGCTGGGGAAATGGTGCCCGATGGCCACCATGGGGAATGCAGCTCCTGACCCAGGCGGAGACAGGGTTTGCTGTCTCTGAAACATGGCCCCCAGAGCCCCTGCCTTCTCCAGGGCTCTCTGTCTCTGGGCCCAGCCGCGGCGGGGCCCTGGGGTAGGGTGAGCTAGCCGTTGTCTGCCCGGGAAGATGGACCAGGCTCCGCAGCCATCTGCCTTTTAAAAAGACATCGCTTTGAGGGTAAGCGGCCCTCCGTGAGCCACAGGCAGCCTGAGCTGCTGTTACTTGAAAGTGCAGATGAGTGGAGATGGCTGGACTAGACGTGAGCAGAGTTGGTGAAGACTTACTGTTTTTAGCAGTCTTGATTTTTTTCCTCTTCTTCCTTTTCTCCCCCTGCCTCAGTTTGGACGTGCTAATTGAATTCACCCCAGCTTCCCAAAGCGCCACTCACACCTCCCCTTCCTTTGTGAACCCCACCAGTTTTTTTCTGATGCATTAGCTTGGGGGTGGGGGTGGGGGTGGGGGTCGGGAAGGGAGGGTGAGGGCCAGGAGGTGGCACTTCCTGTGGCTGTTCTGTTCCGTTTTCCTAGTTCCTTTGCTGGTCTCTATCCTCTGTATAAATTCATAGATCGAGTTGAAATGAAGCACCATCCATGTGAGTTCACTCAGCTCCACCGTGGGGCACGGGAAGCCGCCTGCTCCCTGGGAACAGGGGAAGCCAACAAAACTTATCTCCAGCCCACCAGGCTGCTATCTGCAGTCCCCCTGGGATTCCAGGCCAGTCCACACCCCTCTCCGGAACTTTCTGGGAAGGGCTGTGTCCAGCCCAGTACCAGGTGGAGCCGGCCTTCCGTCTCCCACCCACCCCATGGGATCAGGGCTCATGGGATCAGGGGCAGCCACCTGAAGCCACGTTCATTTTCGAGTTTCCCACGGTGGCTGTGTCCATCTCCCAAGACTGGGAACCACTGACCTAAACTCTGAGCTCTTGGAGAACAGTTGTGGCTGACAGGCTGTCACCTGGGGCAAGTGACTGATGTCTCTGAGTCTCAGTCTTTGCATCAGCACCGAGGGGTGGTTATGATACTAGTGCAGCTTTTGGGAAGAGTAAACGAGGCCGCACTCATGAAGCACTGGGCACGGAGCCTGGCATACAGTAAGCGCACAATAAGTGTTGGCAGAAAGGAGGACGGAAAGGAAGGACATAGGAGAGAAGGAGACGGGTGGGAGGAGGAGGGGGGAGACGGGCAGGGGTCCATGACAGGGCACAAGGGTGGGTGCATCAGGGAGCCCTGGCCACCTGGATTACGGGGACTCCCCTCGATTGGAAGCAAGCTGGTGACCTTGAACAAGCCCACCCCATGTTCCTCAGTGAAACTTCAGTGTCCATCATGCCATCCTAACACTGTGCGGTGGCCCCTGCTCTGGTCCTTGTTTGGGGACAGGCTGGCCCCACATCCCGAGAAGCAGACACTTGCCATCCTGTTAACTGTCCCCAAAGGAGACACCCCTGTGGCATCCTCAGCCCTGCACAGCCTTGCTCTCCTGCATCAGGTGGACACCTGCGCCCCCCCTTTGCTGCAGCATCCTGGACACACCCCGTCTCTCGCTCGAGGCTCTGTGCAGACTCCCTCCGCTTTCCCACACTCCCCCCCCACCCTTTCATCTGGGAGACCCACTCCTGACGCTGGACCAGCCTAAACAGCACCTCCTCCAGAAAGTCCTCCCGTGTCCCTGCACCCAAAGTCCAGATTAAGTAATCCTTCTTTGAGGTCCCAAAACAATAATGAAGAATATATCCTGGGCGTTTGATGTGGGCGCCCCCATCCACCTCCCTCATCTCCTCTGATCTGCCCAACACAGCCTGAGGTAAGTGCTTTTCTCCCAAGGTTCAGGTTATAGAGTTCCCACCAGGCCCCCCTCCATGTCCTGCCAAGACCCTCCAAGCTCCCCCCAGGTCCTTCCAGGCTCCCCATGTTTCACCAGGGCCCTCCAGGCACTTGCTAGGTACCTCCACGTGTCTCCAGACCTCTCACCCCCACCCTCAGGTCCCCACTGTTGATAGGTTCAAGAACTCGACTCAATTCTGACCCCAACATCCCAGCCTGGACGCCCCCTGAACGCCCCTCCCTGCAGGCTCCCCACTCTTTCACCTTCTATCTGCTTTCTCCATCCGACTGTCATTTCCCCAAGGAGCCGCTGCAGCCTGGCTCGGCCTCTGCCCCAGCCCTGTCCCCAGACCCAAGGCCTCAGTACATCTTCCAAGTCAGTGAGCCGGACAAGCTGGATGCTGGTTCTCGAAGCCCCCAGCTGCCCTGTCCCTCCTGCCAGAGCCACTGAGAGCCCACGATGCCGCCATAAATACCACCACTTTATTACCATACAGAGGAGTACTGACGGAGACGACATAACTGGTATACCGTGAAAAAGAGTGCCTCTTCCTGGGCGTAAAGTGCGGTGAGTTCCTCCATGCACGCCAGTTTCGTATAAGAGAGGCAACGGATGCTAAGTTGGGAGATAAAAGTTCCTCTGGCAGGAGCTCACCGAACTAGGATCAGGGTCCGAGGCGGCACCACATCGCAGTGTCTGTGCCCCCCCCCGCCCGGCCCCCACCTTCACCGCTGGGTCCTGGAGGCAGAGAGGACCTTCCCGAGGCCAAGCAGAAGGTTCAGCCACCCAGAGAATGGAGGCGGCTGGGGGGGTGGAGGGGAGGGGTCCCCTCTACCTCTGGGCTCCAGCCCCAGGCCCCCTTGGGCAGCTGGGTGCTGGGCTGGGTGCTGGGGGATGGGAACCACAAACACACCATCCTCAGGCTCAAAGAACAACTGCCCATGGCAGGGGCAGTTCTGTCCGGGAGGCCGTCGGGCACCCAGAGGCTGTCCTTCCCCGGGGAGAGCAGAGGCTCAGTGTCAACGTCTTCACAGCCCGGGGTGCCCTGCAGGAAGGGTGTCCGAGGAGGGGCCCCAAAAGCTGCGGTGGCCCTGAGGGCGGGGTGCTCAGGTCTCTGAGGGCAGCGGCTGCCAGGCCTAGGAGTGGGGGGGCCTGCAGGAGCGGCAGCACGCCTTGCTGTAGTACCAATGGCCGCAGAGGTTCACCTTGATGGCCAGGGCGCAGTTGGTACCTGGCTGGTCCTGGCAGCTGTCGTCTGGAGAAGGGACGTGAGGGGGGGCTTAGGCATCACGATAGGACCTTTCCCCACCCCGCCCACCTCTCTTTTTCTCAACTGAGGGAAGAAGGTCTGCACAAAGGTGGCCCTGGGTGGCAGAGCGCCTGTGGACAGGTGGCTCATACGTGCCCCTTCCCAGGTTCAGGGGCAATGGGCCTCCCACCCGATGGCAGGGACTCGGGTTCCTGCTCCCATCCCTGATCCCATCAAGTGGTTTGATCTGTGCACAGAAAAGGGTGATGACCAGGGGCCAGGATTTTGAGGAGCCACTGATCTCACCCCCAGAGTATTCCCGGAAGGCCCACAGGTGACCCCTCTACTCAGTAGGTCCAAAGCAGAGCTCATCACCTGCCCCCGTCCCCCTCAGAGCCCATCACTTCGTCCATCTTCCAGGTGCCTGAGCCCGAGACCTGCTTCAGCCTCAGCCTCCCTGTCCCCTGTGTGCCCAGCACTGGGCTGCCCCGGCTGTGTCCCCGCCCCACAGCTGCCCACGCATCTCCTGAGGCAGGGGACTCTTTGCAATGTGCAGGTCTCGGATGGCTCTTGGGGACCCCAAGCCCCGGTCAGGCCTCACTTGCCACCCTTCCCACCCGCACCTCCTGGCTGGGCTCAGCCAATCCAGGGGGGACCCTCGACTCCCACATGCTGCAGTCTCCATAGCTACTGACCCGCCTGGTCCTCTGTCCTTTCATCCCTCAGGGCCCGGCCCTGCCCACTCCTCCTTGGCAAGCTCCCGCCCAGCCCTCAGCCTACCCCTGCTCACCTGGGGGCTCCGTGGGACAGGGCTGCAGGTCACAGGCCTGTCTGCCGACGGGCTTCACCAGCGGGTCACAGCCGCGGACAATGTCCGTGCCCTGGTAGCACTTCACGTCGCGCATCCGCACGCCCACCCCACAGGTTTTGGTGCACTGATGGGGGAGAGAGGACATGGCAGAGCCCTGCCCGGTGGGGCAGGCGGGGAGCCCCACCGTCTCACCAAGCTGCTGAGTCTCAGCTGACTTGGGACACGCGAGAGCTTGAGGTGACAAGGGGAGGAGGGGGCACTGGCTGACACTCGGCCCCACCCAGTGCTGCCTGAGTTTCCCTGTCTGCACAGTGAGGGGCTGAACCCCTCCTGTCCTCTCTCAGCTATCCCCCCGGGCTTTCCTGGGTCCTGCAATGCTCAGGACACAGGGGCCAGGCCTGAGGCAGAACTCCGGTTTTCCACACCAGTAAAAAGCTGTGTTTGTTGTGGGCCAGTTAAGCGGATCCTCCAAAGCCACTCCCACCCCCCACCCCCACCCCCGAGGCTCCCTGTCCAGATGTTTCCCTTGGAAAACCCCGCTGAGCTACCCAGAACACCAGGGACAGCTGCTGACCCCAGTTACCCCACCACCCTTCTCCTGCCAGCATCCTGCGGGCGGTGGCTCCCTCTTGCTTCTCCCATGTGGGTGACCCCACATCACCCAGGCCCGTCTGGGACCTGAGCCCTTGGTTCCCTGGGCCCACCTCCGGTCCTGTTTGCAGCAGCAGCTCAGGGAGAATTAGTCTCAGCAGGGAGGGCCGCCCACCCAGTGCCCGCTCCAGCTTGGGGGTTGGCCCAGTCTGGAAGCCACGAGAGGCTGGCTTGGCATGGAGCAGAGGACAGTCAGCCTTGGGTGGACGCCCCGAGGAGCCTCTGGATGTGCCCTGGCACCCACTCCTCTGTCCTTGGGGAGTGGATGGGGCAGCTGGGAGGAACCAACTCTTCCTGAGCCTGCGTCTCCGGGCGGGGCAGCCCAAACAGAGATAGGGACGGAGATCCCCACACAAGCCATCCATCCATGCCGGTCACCTCTCACCCACCCACTGTCATCAGGGTGATACAGGGGTGCCCCTCCCCTGACACTCTCAGGCTGTGCTTTTGGGGTCCCCCCTTCACTGCTCTCCTCCCTTCCATGGCTAAGCAGCCAGCACAGCACCTGCGCCTCATAGGTCCTGGTCCCCGCCCCACAACTGCCCTCCCATCTCCTGAGGCCGGATGCCCTTTGCAATGTGCGGGTCTCAGCATGGCTCCTGGAGACCCTGAGCACCAGTCAGGCCTCACCTGCCACCCTTCCCACCTTCACCTCCCAGCTGCGCTCAGCCAACCCAGGGGGGCCCTCGCTCTCTGACATGCCTTGGTCTCCATAGCCTGGTCCTCCGGGCTGATGCCTCCTCTTCCCCCCTGGGGAAGCCCGCACCCCAACCTCAGCTCCTCGCTTTTTCCCCAGGGGGAGTCCTTTTCCAGCAACACAGAATGAATCAGTGTGAGTGTTCTCACTCTTGAAGGAGCACATGTGCTGTAGGGCGAGCAGGGGTCCCATTTGGGGTTAGGGTTTGAGCCCAGATGCCACCCTGTCCCTCCACTGAGAAAGAACCCTGGGCCTGGGTGGGGGATGGAGGCCCAGCCCCTCCCACTCTGAGTGGGGGCAGCACTCATGGGATCCCCAGACTCACCCCCATCTCACACTTAGAATCTCTACCTTGAACTCAAGTTTTGGGAGGTATCACCACCTGTCAGGTGACCACATGGAAGCCTCAGGTGTGGGTGTTTGAGACACATTGTGGAATGCCACAGTGCATGTCCTGTTCTTCCAGTTTCACGTGACACCTATGTCGTCCATTGGCCAGAGACACTGGACCCTGGTGACCCTGCCTGGCCACGGCAGCGCTGACACCCGGGCCCCTGCTCTCCAATCCCCTAGTGATGCTCTGAGGCGACTCTGGGTGTCCCCACTTGCCTCTCTTGAAAGTTTACAGCACCACTAGGTAGGGAGGGGGCGCATGAGCCGCAGAGTCGCTAAGGAGACAGTGGAGACGGAGGCGAGGAGATGGTATGAATCACTCAAAAGTACTGTCTAGACAGGACGCCTCTGAGCTGTGAGAAAGGCTGGGGCCCAAAAAGCCCCCGGAGCCTGGATTCACACCAGGAAGTCCCATGGGAAGGGGACAGAAGAGGAAACAGCAGAAGTTAAACCAACCCTTTCTCTCAGCCAGAGAACAGGGGTGTCTGCTGCCCTATCTGTGAAACGGGTCTGCTTCATCTCTGCAGGCAGCCCACGCACCTTGGGGGCCTTGGGGTTCCCCTTCATTTTGCAGATTTCTCACCCACCCAGGACAGCGGACAGAGTGGCCTCCAATGTCCGCTACACCCCCAAGTAGCTGCAAGACCCCAATGGGTGAGACATCTCTCTGAACTTCAGTTTCTTCCTTTCTGCAATGGGAAGGAGAACCCCCTCACCATGGGGCTATTGGAGGAGGAAAGGGGACCCCCTCACTGCCCAGGAGGTGAGGACTGTGTTCCTGGCTGCAGAGCGAGGAGACAGCTCGGCTCCACGCCCCCAACAGTCTGACGCCGAGGAGCCCTCAGCACGGTGGAGGGGCCAGGCTGCTCAGGAGTTGCTGCCCTCCTGGCGTCCCTCTGCCCCGGTGCGCACGGCCCACCATGCCTCTGCGGCCCCAATCCTGCGTCCTGCCTTGACCCTGGCTTCCGGGGCTAGGGTGCTGTCTGACTTAGCCCCGCACACTCCCAGTGCCCACCTGGGCTCAGGGCACATGTACTGTCCAACATACAACTGAAAGGCTACAATGCAAGGACCAAAGTGACCCCGGCTAAAGAAGCCCAAGATGAGCCCTTCAGGGATCCTAGAGGTGAGACCTGAGAAGCTTTCCTGGAGGAGGTGACTCTCACACCAGCCGACTTGGTAGAGTTGAGAAGCTTTCCAGGGACAGAAGGCCCTGATGGAGGCCAAGGAGGGGAACATGAGGGGCATTTGGGGCAGGAGGGGAGGTAGAGGCAGGACCAGACCTCAGGCCTGGCCTCAGGCAGCCTCAGCAGGGGCCAGCAGGCACTCACCTCAGACCACGGGCTGGTGTACCACTTGAAGCAGGGCCTCTCGAAGCACGTGCTCTCCTCGGGGGGCTTCTTGGCCAGCCCGCACTCGGGGCCGCTGCGCGTCTGCGGCTTCCCATTGGCCAGCTCCATGCACAGCACCAGCCTCTTCTTTACACCTCGGCCACAGGTGGTGTTACACTGAGGCCAGGGGACAGACAAGCATCAGAGGCCAGAGGCCAGGAGGACCAGAACGCAGGGCCATGGCGACTCCGGTGATAACAGCTTCGTCAAGAGCAATTGGGTGAAATGCTTAGAGGGGAGGCAAATCGGCAGAGAACTCTTTGGTCAATAACCATTTGGCCCAAAACAATTTAGCAGAAACCATGTGTACCGAAACAAAATGGTTAACGACAATTTGGCCCAAGATGATTTGGCTACTAGCCATCTGCCTCAAACAATGGGTTGAAAGCAGTTGGGTTGAGAACAATTCGTCTGAAAAGGCAAGTTGGTGGCCCTGAACTTAGTGATGAGAACAAACATTGCAGAGGACCAGGTGGGGGCCAAAAGCAGGTATAGCCCTAAGTACTCGGCTCTGGTTTTCCATATATGGGGGCGGGGGGGGGAACAATACTAATTCTGCATGCATCCTTGAGCATTTGCCTAATTAGATTTGGAAAGTTTTAAGGGGTTTTCCTGCTTTTTTGGCTTCTTCTATTTCAAATTAATTTTTAGTGAATTGGGCCCTCATAATTTGCAATTAAGCCCTCATTTTGACCAATCTTTTATTCTGTCCACTTGGCTCTCAGCCAAATGCCATCTGGGTCAGAGAGGGCCCTGCCGCTGGGCTCGGAGCACTCACCCGCTCCCAGTCCTGGGCCAGCCAGTGGGCGGGGCAGTTCTTGTCCCCGCAGGGGTGGATGGCCAGCGGCTTGGTCTCCACCTGGCACTGAGACTCGGGCACCACCCGTCCGTCGCTGGTCTTGCAGTACACATGTCTGATCATACGGCCCTGGCCACAGCTCCCACTGCACTGCAGGGGGACACCGGGTTAGAGCGCAGCCTTCCCCCAGGTCGCCAAAGTCATTCGCAAGAGAGAGGAGCTGCTGCCATGGCAACCACATGTGTAAATAACATTTTCTGTTCTAATTACAGACGTATTGCATGTCTGATGAAAAACACACACACAGAGAAGAGCACACCTAAAACACCCGAAAGGCCACCTGTGCACAAGGCGCCCAGAGGGGACACCAGGGAGCACTGAGCATCTCTGTTCCAGAAGAGATAGACAGAGACACAGGCAGATTGGCAAAGCGTCTATGAAAGGGGATCGCCATGTGGGCCTCCTGTTTTTGCAAAAAGGCTTTGATTCTTCATAATAACGAGGAGGAAGCCCAGGTCTTCTCCCAGATCCTTGCCCCAGGAAAATGGGGAAACTGAGGCACAGCTGGACGAAGCCCTGGCCTGGTGCTCTGCACACCCCTTGAAGCACGCCCCCAGGGGCCCTTTCCTCACCGGCCCCCAGTCGGAAACAGTCCACTGGCGGTCGCAGGGGGGGCCCGTGCAGTCCTTCTCCCCAACGGGCCTGGTGTTGGGGTCACACAGCTTCTCATCCTCGGAGCAGCGGATGTCCCTGGTCACCACACTGCGCTCTCCACACTTGGCCGTGCACTATGAGGCCAGGTGAGGGTGGGTGTCAGGACCGCGCCCCGTGCACGCGGGACCCTCACCCTCACCCCACTCGCCAGGGCGCATGCTCACCTCGGACCACTCGGACATCTCCCACTGCGGCCCGCAGGCCGGGTTCCGGCACGTCTTGCGTTCCTCGGGCCTCACGGCCTCGGCCGCCTCGCACAGGTCGCTATACACAGAGCTGTCGAAGCCGGGAGACAGCATCTTCCAGCAGCGCACGATGCGGAACTGGAAGCCCTCGCCACAGGTGCGCGAGCACTCGCTCCAGCTGCTGGTCTCCCACCTGCCTCGGGAGGGGACGGCCTTCAGCAAGCCCCGCCTTCCTCCCCGCCACCGGACCCGCTGTAACCCCACACCCCCGAGAATATGTGCCTTCTCTTCCCCTGCCCATGTGGCCCCAAATCACAAGGGCTGAGCTGGTGAGGCCACATGGTGGAGGCTGCCACCGTGGGGACCCTGAGTTCTTTATGAAACACCTAGGTGTGGGTGGGCGCCAGTGCCTAGCTGGTGTCCAGCCTGCCCAGGAGCCCCTGCTCTCACCTCGACACCCACCCACCTGGCCTTCCAGACCCTACAGGGAGCCAGGTCCTGGCCCTGTTCGTTTGCTCACGCTGGAGTCACCACCCTAGAGCCGGGAACCCTGCCGTGGGGACTCTGAGGGGAACGGCGGGACCCAGGGCCACATGCCCAGTTTCTAAGAAAGGAGCAAATGGGCAGGGAGCAGAGGCCCAGAGGGAGAGAAGGGGCACATGGCCGTGTCAGGGAGCGGGCCTCCAAGGCGAGTTTGCTCCCAAGTGACAAGAGATGGGAGGCTGGCACCCTCGGGCTCATCTGGGGCCCCTGAACTAGCTCCCGCCGCCATGGTGACTGGGAAGAGGACATGGTTCCGGCTCCATCTCTGACCATCCGTGACCTGCGGGCTAGAAACACAGGGCCTTCTCCCACCTTCCAGGTACAGCCAGTTTGCTTGGAACTTTGGGTATAATCCCTTTGGACTCATAAAAATCCTAGCTGCACCCAGTAGGCCTGCGGGCAAATGTGTCGCCATAGTACAGAGTAATGTTCAGAATGGTTTCTCAGTCTGCAGTGGAAGACATTCATTGGCCACCTACTGCGTGCGAGGCACAGCGTCAGGTTACACTGCAAAGCATGGGAAGACACAGGAGGAGCCTTACAGGCAGGTCAGTATGGCCCCTCCCTACCGGTCCTGCCCACAAAGCCCCTTGAAGGAGCAGGATACAAACTCCTCTGAGCAGAGGCAAAGCAGCGCCCGGCTGCCTCCCCCCAGCCCTGCCTGGGGCCCTGGGTGGCAGGTACCTGGGCTGGCACTCCCTCCCAGCACAGAACTCCTGGACCGGCTCCGGGCGGGTCAGGGCATCGCAGTAGCTGTCGTCCACCTCGATGCCATCATAGCGAACACACATGGCGTAGGTCGACATGACCCCTGGGTTCAGGACAAGGGAAGGGCCTGTGAGCCACACGTGAGCACCCTGGAGACCACAGACAGCCCGTGTGGCCTGACTGCTCAGAGCCCAGCTTCCTGGTTTAAACCGGGAATAATGACAAGAACCAGCTTACAGGACCGGGGGACAGCCCAGTGAGGCCTGAACTCTCGCTCTGCCCGTGTCCTAGGGCCTGACCTCTTCTCTTTGTACCCTCACCCCCATCCCAACCAGCCCAGGCTGGACACCCAGCTCAAACGTCACAGACCCTGGGCTTTGAATAAAATCAAGTTGGCTTTTACAGAGGCACATACAGCCAAGTGACAATAATTTTCATTCATTCAACAACTACCCATCTTAGTGGGTGGGTGGATGGATGGGTGGTTGGATGGATGGATGGATGGGTGGATGGATGGGTGGTTGGATGGTTGGATGGATGGATGGGTGGATGGATGGGTGGTTGGATGGATGGATGGTTGGATGGATGGATGGATGGATGGATGGATGGATGGATGGATGGTTGGATGGATGGATGGTTGGATGGTTGGATGGATGGATGGGTGGATGGATGGGTGGTTGGATGGATGGATGGTTGGATGGATGGTGGATGGATGGATGGATGGATGGATGGATGGGTAGATGGATGGATGGTTGGATGGATGGGTGGATGGATGGATGGATGGGTGGATGGATGGATGGTTGGATGGATGGGTGGGTGGATGGATGGATGGTTGGATGGATGGGTGGATGGATGGATATGGATTGAAAATCTAACCATTCCAGCCCTCGCCAGCCTCCCCAGATGTTATGTTAGATCTTCAGACTCTCCCTGCCCCCCTGTGGCATGCCCCGGTCCTCATCAAAGCCCTTCTTGAACCTTCTTTTTCCAATATTGTGTGTGTTTCCTTTTATGGGCTCCCCAGGACTCTATAAATCCCATCAGAGGACAGCATGTAAAGGGCCAGCTCCCATAATTCCTTGACCCACCTCCAACCTCTTCTCCTCTGTCCTCCCCTGGCACCCCTGTGCCTGACACCCAGCTGTCACATAGGCCAACTCACTAAACAGTGGTGGGTCCCTGCCAAGGGGCCAGGATGACAGGGTAGCTGTTAGCACTGGTGAAGGCCTAGGCGGGGGGTAGGTTTTGTTGTTGTTGTTACTGTGGTAGGGGTGGAGGGGGGGGGGAGAGAGAGAGATCCGCCTTCCTGAAAGATGGGGAGAAGGGGGCCTCCTTGCTGGGTGGCCAGTCCTCAGCCTCCCCATCCATGGAGAGCCCCAGCCCCTGCACACTCCCTTCCCAGCGGCTCCTGCCTCTCCAAGCCCCAGCCCTGGATGGAATGAAACAGCCTAGGAAGCAGCCTACATGGGGATTCTTTCTTTTTTCTGTAAAGGACGAGCCAGGCTGCAGTCTCTGGTCCCTCTTTGCCAGCTCTGGGCTGTGCAGCCTTTAGCCCTCTCTCCGGAGGAGGCTGGCTTCCTGGCCAGGTCTGCTGGGAATGTTCCAGGCCTCAGACACCAGCTCTGGGGCCCAGGGAGGTCCGGGGTTGGGGACTTGCAGACTTTGCCAAGTGCCTGATTGTTCATTCACTCCTCGTCATCAAGTGGAGACCCTGCAGGAGAGGCTGGAATTCAAGCTCCAGCTCAGCCTCTCCCTGGTGGGGTGATGTGAGTATTGTCAGGCTTTCCAGGTTTCAGCTTGCCCATCCTCAAAATGGGAACCTCCCAGAGATGCCAGGAGAGTTAAAGTACCAGTTTTCTGGACCCCCTCTTCATTAACTTGGCATTGAACACTGCGTTTTGCAAAACTTCTTAGACAGGGAGCCCTTCCTTTAAATAAGAGTGACCAGGGAGCCCCAACCCATGAAACAGATGTGGGTGGGCCTTTGAAGGGGTGAGGCTCAGGACCCACTGGCTCCACTGCCCTCACCCCTGTGTCCTGGGGGCACCAGGGAACAGTTTGAAATCATTGCTTGAGACTCAAGGTAAGAAGATTCCAAACCAATTCACCTGCATTTCTATTGCCCAAAAGCATGTCTTTAAGGAGAGGAAGGGAGATGCTCTGTTACGGCTGAGCTTGGACACAGATTTGCTGTGCTGATCTAACAGCCCTTCACGTGAGTTCTCAGCAAAGCATAGGGCAGAGAAAGACCCCACTGTGTGCCCATGACACTGGTAGACATTCACCACGTGCCACAGAAGATTTGTAATCCCCACCACCACCCCAGCTTGGCTTTAGCACCCCATAAAACAGGATTTTGAGAGGAGCCGGCCACTGGCGTGAGCATCAATTGTGGGCACAGTGTCTTTGGACAGGTGCATGTCCCACTTTACAGGTAGAAAATTGAGGCTTGCAGAGATAAAGCATTTGCCAAGGGCACTTGGTGTGGTCAAGCAGATAGTGCATCTCAAGTGCCCACCGATGCCCCACAAAGCTGGCCTTGTGCCCTCCAGAATGCCAGGGGCAAACTCTGTGGGTCCCATGCCCCGCACAGGAAGGCGGGGCCCTGGATTCCAGCCCGAGAGGGGGAGCAGTGTGAGCAGAACATAAGGACCTGTGGTCCATTCAGAGCCCTGCAGAGTCACCTCTCCAGCTGCTCCATTGGGCCCACATCCTGAAATGCCAACAAGGGCTGAAGGAGGCATGACTAAGCCCAGACCACGGCTGCCCAGGGCCCGGCCAGTGTCTTGCCTCATCCTCCTCACTGGCCAGGCCCTACAAGAGCATCCAAAGTTCAGGCCATGGTGGGGGAGGGATGCGGAGAGTGCGTTGCTGGGACAAGGACATCGTACATTTTGAGTGGCAGCCCCAGGTGTCCAAACCCAACCATAAAGTCCGAAGTATAGATAAGGTGGCTCTTGGGTCTCCATGCCACATTTGCCAGGGTGCTGGTGCTGGCTCTGCCATCTGAACTTGCAGCTGCCCCCAGCGGAGGGAACCAGAGCTGCCAGCAGATGGAGGCCAGTCCCTGGTGGCTGCGGCCAGCGTCTCAGTGTGGTGGTGGCCAGCCATGTGTGCAGACAGATGCGGGTCCAGGTCCCAACTCAGCACTTACTAACCACATGCGTCTGCCCCTCAGGCGCCACCCAGGGGTCTCTGCTCCCTCCTACCTCCTCTCCTGATGAGGTCCTAGAACCCGACCCATTCCCTCAGCCCCAGAGTGCGTGGGTCTATTTCCCCCTTCCTATGTTTGTGTAAACAAAAGTAAACTCTTCATCACCTGAGATTTCTTACTTTTAACGAAAAGGACATTTGCTCTCACAAGACATGATATGAACGACAACGGACGGAGAGTGTTTGGGGGGCCTGCATAACGCCCAGGAGGCTGACCTCACCGTGGCCTAGCACGTCGTGAGCAGGAGGACACCCCAACCCCTGTCATATCCGGCACGCTGCCTCCCAGATCAGGAAAGGAATCGGCAGACAGGCTCCCTGCAGGCAGCTTGGGGCTGCAAGCATGTGAGTGGGTCCCGCAGCCCGGCAGCTGTGGCCAGTACCTGTGGTGCAGGTGGCACTGCAGGGCTCGTGGGATGATAGCTTCCACCGGTACATGTCCGCCGGGCTCACACCTTGCTTGCGTGCCTTGGGCCTGGTCCTGAAAACAAGGTCAAGCAGAGAAAGGGGTGAGAAGCCACGGCGCTCACTGACGGGCGTGAGTTTGCATCGGAGGGTGTGTTCTCATCCATGGGGCGGTTGTGCTTTTCTGGGACAGCACACCTGTCCTGAGGCCCAGGCCAAACCCACCTGTCGGGGTCAGAGCGCACACTGTCTAGGCCAGAGAGGACGGAGGGAGCACCACAGAGCACCACTGCTTAGGAGGCAAGGGATGTCTGCGTTCTCTCATCTCCGTTATGTAGTCCAAGCAGACCGCTGCCAGTGCTCCCTCGGGGGTGGGGGTGAAGAACTGGGGGCTCACCAACATGGTAATCCCTCCACACAGGTGGACCTCACACCTCACATCTGAGAGTGGACTTCTTCTCCCAACCCCTCCCCTCACTTAGGCACTGAGAATGCGCCAGAGTTCTCCCCTGCGGCCTCCTCCAGCCAGCATTCTGATTGAATGGGGACACTATCCATTCGCCTCCAATTATCAAAATAGAAAAGCTCAGCACAGACGGGGGTGTGGCCGCGCCCCCCCCCAGACGCCTCTGCGCAGGTCTGCCTGCGATGGCTGCTGTGCAAGGGGAAAGGCACGCAGCTCCCCCGCCAGCGACCAGCCAGGATTCTTGGCCGGAACTCTGGCGGCCTGAGCCAACTATTGTTAGGACTGTTTGCTTCTTTGAACCAGTTGGTGTGCTGGGCCCAACCTCAAGATCGACGACGTGCAGGCTAGGATGGGACTCAGCAGGGGACGAGGGAAGTGGCTGCGGCAGTGGCAGTCTCTGTGCTCCCAGCTTGAGAGCCCATGGAGCCAGAGAAGGGGACACAGTGCTATGGCCTGGCTGCTGGCACGTCACCCAGGCCTCGACCTCCCTCTTCCTCTGGGCACAGCAGCAGGCCCCAGCCCCAGCTCCACCTCCCTCCCGGCCCAGAGGGGCTGGCTGCAGGGGACAGGAGCTACATTTCACAGGGCTCCCGTCTGGGCATGTCCACAGGTCCCTTCCTGGGGACCTGCTGTCAGGCTGAGGGGAGGGGTGCAGGGCATATGTTCTAAAAGGCCTTCTAGTTGATTCTGTGATCCAGACATTGCTCTGGATTCCAACTTCCAGAACGTCACAAGTGGACGAGAACCGCTCCTACAATTGACCTTTGCAGGAATGTCCCCCTGAAAGGCACGTCATGCTCTGAGAACCAGGAAACCATCTCCGGGAGACCTGAACTCATGAATGCACTGCTGTGGCTGCATGAGCCCAGGGAGGGGGCTGGAGGGGAGGGGTAAGGAAGAACATGCAGAGGGTGGGCAGGCAGGGCCGGGGTGGGCTGCTGGCTGATGTCACAGCCACTCAAAGCGTGCTGGGCCCTCTCACCTGGTTGCTTCACAACCAGGAGCCTGCCCCAGGCTTTTCAAGGTTTCTGAGAGAATGGGAGTCTCTCCAACTCTCCTTAAAAATGAGAGGAAATTGTAAAATGCCCTTTCCCGACACCCTGTCATCTGACAGTAAAGGACCCATGGAAACCTGGGAGAGCACCCAGGTCCCGTGAGCAAGGCCTCTGGGGATGGAAGAACCCAGAACATCACCCCTTAACCCTTGATTTGGAAAACATTGAACTGTGCTGATTGGGTCCCTCACTCCTCCTTGCGACAGCTTTAAATTCTCCCCCAGAACCAAAGAGACGAACAGATCCAGCCCGTGCCCCTCCACCCCCCACCCCACCCCCATGGCAAAGCCGCCATCTTTATCTAATTACACACTCCTCCAGCCAGCAGGCAGGGTGACTCATTCCTGACTCCAGAGAGAGTGGCCCAGTTCAAAATAACCCTTCGGATTTTAAGCACAAAAGGTATTTCTGGAGGAGCTGCCTACACATGGCTCTTAGTACCAGCTCGCGTCACACACAGCAATACGCAACCCTTAGAAAACCCTGCATGAATTTGCACAAGGCGACCCTACCAGGTTCAGCTCTTAGAAGTAGCGTCAGGAGAAAAACACCCAGGAAATCGCTGCACCACCGGCCCTTCACCCGCCTCCAGCTGGAAGGGAGATGGTGCCCCCCTCAGCCTTGGGAGTCAGAACTGCTAGACTCCAGCTGGTGACGGCCGCCCAGGCGCAGGGATACTCCAAATCTTGCGTCTCCGGGCCCTCAGCCCAGCGGCCTCCAGCGCAGGTTCTACCACCGCAGGCAGCAGAGGCGCTGGGTGACGGTGCCTGGCTATAAGGGAACAACAATGCACTCGTTGCTTTTCCTCCCCTCCAGACTGGGAGAGGGACTCCACGTCTCTGCGTCCTGGGCGCTTGCTCCCAACGCCTGCGTCTGGTGACGGGGCCTTCCTTGATTGTTTGAGGCCGGTTTGAGAAGATGAAAATAACCTTTCCTTTCTGGGCTGCCCCTTTGATTTCAGCCTCTCTGGGGAGGAGCAGACATGACTTCCTGTGTTTGGACAACTCGCAGAGACGGGGCTATTTTGGCCTGGTGGTTTCCCCATGCCTCCCTCAGCCCTTCTTTATCTCAAAAGATCATCTTTGGTCTCTGCCTGGCAGCGTCCTTTGATGGCAGCCAGAGGAGAGCCGCCCCATCTCGCCACGCCTGGGCCTTTCTGAGGGTTGACAGTCGATTGTGTTGATTCTTGGGTCCCCACAGGCACTGGAAAGCCAGTGTGTCTCCGTGGGGCTGAGGGGGGTGGGGTAAGATTCAACTGGGATGGGGCAGAAAAGACTCTAAAACGTGGCTTAAGGACTCAAAAGCTTGTGCCTGATCTGGCCTGGGAATCCTTGACTACCTGAGCAGAGGAGCCCTGAGGCATCTTCTGTCAAACTGTTCACTTAGTGATCAGGAAACTGAGGCCCAGAGAGGGTCGGAGCTGCGTCTGAGTCTCCCGTGGGCAGGGCTGAGATGGCGACTCAGGTCTTCAGGCACTATTTTCTGTGCTTTTCACTGTACCAACACGGCCACCGACATTTTCTGTGCCTTAAGCCACGTTAAATAGTGGGGCCTTCTGGGCCACCCTGATCACCCATTCTGAGAGGGACCCTGACCTCAGATAAGCTGGTCATGAGTCCTGTGAGGGTCACTTCCTCGCCCTGGAGGTTTGCTGTGTCACTGTCCAATTCTATTACCGAATCCTCACTCGGTAGGTCTAGGTGCCTCACACATGGATGGCAGTGCTGGGGGGACGAGTTCACAGCGAGGACTCTGAAACCAGGCTCGGGGCCATAAGTAACTGGCCGGGTCATGGCCAAGTGCTGGCTGATTCTGAATCCCAGTCCTTTGTTCACGAGCACCTCTGTCAGACTCACACCCTGACCCTAAAAGCAAAGCCTGTCACCCCCTTCCAGCCACTGGGTCCCACACACCCCTGAGGCTCCGCTCTCTGCAAGCTTTTGGGCCCCGGGCTGGGGAGCAGATGGCCCCCTGTGGGAAGGACAGCCACAGAAGGTCCCAGAGCTTCCCTAGCCCGTCAGAAGTGACCCAGATATGCCCACGAGCCCTCCAGCCCCAGGTATCTCACGTGAGCCTGGGCCTCAGAAAACAGCTTGAGGTCAGGGGCAGGCCCCCTCCTGTGGGTGCACTGCAGGGAGGGGCAGTCCCCTGAGCTCCCAGGGACACCCACCTCTGCATCCTCAGCTCCGGCTGGGGTTCAAGTCATGTTTGTTGTTTAAAGTCAAGGGGTTTGGGTGGGTCTCCAGAAAACAAGACAAAACAAAACCCAGTGCCCCCCCCCACTCCCTCCCCCAACAGCAGCTGAGCCTCGCTCTGTCATCAGCCTCACTGCCCCATGAGTTTCTTGGAAAACTTCAGAGTAGAGGAACACGTTAGGGTGGCCATCAGCCCAAGGGGCTTGTCATTAGGGGTTGTCCTCTAGTAGGGATGGTGGCAGGACTGGGAGCACCCTGCTACCAACTTCCCCCACTACGCAGGGAGGCTCCTAGTCGCCAGCCCTTCCAGGGCCAGCCATGACTGTCCAAGCATTGCCAGTTGTCATTGTCCAGATGTCCCCAGGTATGACTGTCCAGGCGTCCCTAGGTATGGTATGATTTTTCCATGTGTCCCCAGCTGTGACTGCCCCGGTGTCCCTAGATATGACTGTCCAGTTGTAACCAGCTGGGATTGCCCCAGGGTTCTTATGTGTGTCCTTGGCTCTGGGGGCCTGGACCCAGTTAGACTCTCACACAGCCCATCCAGAGGTAGCTCCAGCCCCTGCCGCAGAAGACCTTGTTCCTAATGCCTGATTCTGGGGTCTGGTCCCTGGCTGCAGAGCCCACTAGACCCTTCCCCTATCTCCTCTCTGGCCTGCGGTGAAGTTTGTGCTGAGTCACCCACATTCGGGGGGCAGCCTAGAGCGTCCCCCCCATGCCTAGCAGCCATGCGTGCAAGGACTGTGCAGGCTGAGAACCCAGGGGCCCCAAACCCTCAGGCACAGTGATCCTCACCTTCTCTGAGCCCCAGTGCCCGCCCCTAACATTACAGGTGGCTGTGACGAGTGCATGTTTCCATGCATGCAACATGCTTAGCCCTGAGCTTGGTCATGACGAGCGCTCTGAACTGCTAGCCAACTAACCCCCGCCCCGACCCTCCTTCCTGCCGACATCGGATCCACACACGGACGCTCAGCACTGGGACTGCCGTGCAGGGAAGACACGCTAAAAGCCAGGCCTGGGACCTCCTGCTCAGGTCCATGGGGCGAGAGGGAGGTGCTGGGCAGCAGTGGCTGTCTCCCAGCCAAACCGCCCTCACCCTGTACTGTGGTCTCGCTTACACGGCCCCCAACCCAGAGGCCCCTGGATAGGGCAGGGGAGTGCCTCCTACCTGGCCTTGTGCGTCCTGTTCCCAGCCAAGGTGGGAAGGCTGGAGCTGGCGTTGGGGAACGGGGCCTCAGAGGAGGTGTTGGTCACCCTGTCACTGCTGAGCTCCAGGTAGGACCCATTGAGCAGGTAAGCACCGGCCCCTTCGTTCTCCTCATAGTCAACATAGAGGCTGTCAGCCAGGGAGCTCCGTGGGGCGCCCTGTGCAAAGATGCTGTTGACTGTCTCATTGAGGGCGAGCTCCCTGGAGTCAGAGCTTGCACCCAGGAGCTGGCCGGAGACGGCATTGGCTGAGAGGAGCTCCTGGGAGGCGAGGCGGGCGTCGGCCTCTTGGTCGTCCTTGTCCCCCGCGAGAACCATCCCGGTGGCGTTGCCCTCTACAAGGAAGACAGGTGGCTCAACTTTAAGCACTCCCTCTTGTGGGGGGCAAGGGCCTCCCTGGGGGGTAGGGGGGGAACCAGCGGGGCTGGGGGCAAAGAGCTGAGCCAACCAGGAAGCTCCCAGAGGCAGGTCCTCGCCCTATGAGAGGACAGAGATTGCCAAGTGGGGGCCCGCAAGCCGACCTGGACAATCTCCTACGGGGGAGCCGGCTTGACCTCTGCCGTGGGTTGAAGAGGGTCCCCCAAAATGCGTGTGCACCCAGAACCTCAGAATGTGAGCTTATTTGGCAAGAAGGTCTCTGTAGATGTAGTTAAGGATCTCAGATGAGATCATCCTGGGTGTAGGGTGGGCCTTCCATCCAATGACTGTTGTCCTTGTAAGGAGAGGTGAGGACACAGAGAGACAGTCACAGAGGAGCAGGTGTGTGGGGATGGAGGCAGAGGCTGGAGTGGTGCGGGCACAAGCCGAGGACCACCTGGGGCCACTAGGAGCTGGGAGAGGCCGGAAGGACCCTCGCTTAGCCTCTGGAGGGAGCGTGGCTGGCTGTTAACTTGATTTTGGATTTCTGGCCTCCAGAACTGGGAGAGAATCTATTTCTGTGGTCACGGTTTGTGAGCATTTGTTACAGCAGCCCCAGGACACTAAATACAACCTTTAAAGTGTCTTCTACTTAAAGACTCGAAGGGTCTTGGAAATTCTCCCCCCAAGTTAGTGAAAATTCTTCCCAAGCCTGGCCAACCTTCCGCTCTTGGCAGGAGTGGGTCCAGCCCACCCTTGATGAGACATGGCCCCCAGGAGCACGGCCGAACTGCCAGCGTGGGTCTCGGGGACCTGACTCTGGATTCACTACGTCTCCAGCCGCACCTCCTGCCCCTTCCTCTGGAACCCGCCCCGCCAGGCGGAACCACGCTGGCCCTCGCTCGTCTCCACCCCTCTCCACGCTCTCACCCAGCTAGCCCTTACCTGTTCCTGAGCCCTCAGCTCACCCTCTGGAGAACTCAAGGTCCTCCCTGTGCCCCTTCGGCTGCCCGTTATTCCAGAGCTTTTGCAACACCTTGTAGTCTGTCTATCTGTCTCCACTGAATGAGCGAGGGCAGGGACTATGGGCTCAAACCCTCCTGGGTTTGACTCCCAGCTCCTTCATGGTAGACACCACGGCAGACTCCATGGTGATGTGCGCAAGCTCTCTCTCTCTCTAAGTCTCAGTCTCCCCATCTGTCAAGTGTAGACAACTGTGTCCATCCAAAGAACATATGTCAGAGGACGTATGTAAAGGCCTAGCCCTGTGCCTGCCCCATATGCCTGCAACTAACCTGTCAACCTCTTCTGCAGCTGCAGGGGACGGAAGGCCCTTTCCCAAGACCCCACCCCCACCCCACCCCAGCTCTCCCCCTGGTTACCTCGGAAGCCCTTGCCCCTGGGGGGTCCCTCGCAGGCCCCGCCGCTGGCCTGCTCGCACACCTCATTGGTCTCCTGGCCCTTGATCAGACCGAGCTCTATCTCCGACCCCGGGGGGCCAAACAGCCGGTTGTCCAGGCCCAGCCGCTCCGAGGAGGCGTGGCCGTACAGGGAGCCGTTGTGCTGAAGGAGGCCCAGCAGTCCAGGCCCGTCCAGCTCCTGGCTCTCTGCGCTTTCAGAGGTGGGCTCGGAGAAGCTGTAGTAGACGGGCTGGATGCGGTGGGCGTGCGGCGGCTGCAGCAGCGTGTACTCGAAGGTGATGGAGGGGCTTTTGCCATTCTGGTTCCACACCTGGGAAAGAGAAGAGGTGGCATCCGGTCCCTCCTCACTCCAGCCCCTTCCCCGCAAGCGTGGAGTGGCTGCCGAGTCCATCGCCCACGCCCCTTCAGGACAGAAGCACTCTTGTCCCCGGCTGCCAGGAGCGGTCCCTGCGGTGGCTCACAGCTGAGTCCTCCCAGGGACTTGCCCTTGACAAGAACACTGCTCGCCCAAGGCTACACCCTGCCCAGGGGGCAGCCCATGTCCCCAAACTGGAGGACAGGGGTACACCAGGGAGGGGGCGGAGGGAGCTGTCCATCCCGGGGACAGGCAGTAAGCGGGTGCACTGGGTGTACAGAACATTCTAAAAGTAATAAAGCCACTAAAACCCGACCTGTGTTATATTACCACCGCGTGCCAGATATCCTAAGTAATAACGGTGTACCGCTCCCACCCCTCTTCCCCCGGAAGCCTCACTACCATCCAAAGCGGGGATGCCATGGCCCGGGTGCCAGAGGGCCGTCCCAGCGCAGAGCTGGCTGTGGGGGGGGCTGAGGCCCCTCTGAGACTGTGCGACAGCCCCGTTTCTCCCTCTGCTTCCCCTCCCGATGGGGGTTCTCAGGGTCTCTTCCACAGACGCCAACCTGTCACTCAGGGTCAGGCGTCCTAGAAGGCGGACTCTCAAACGGGAGCTTGGTGCAGGACCAGCTGCCAGGAGGGGAGATGGGAGCCCCCCTGGTGGTGCAGGGAGCACTGAGACGTCCCCGGTGGTGAACTGGGATGGGGACAGTGGAAGGAAATGCGCTAGTGGCTGCCATGTCTCAAGCGCTGGAGAGTTGGCTGGGGATTGGGCGGCCATTAAGAAATAAGGGGCTGTGGAGTGCAGTGGGGAGAAAGACACCTGAGGGGGATGTCATGCCTGATCTCCAATTAAGGCCAAGCCAGAGGGCCTCCTGGTGTTAGTACATAAAGACACTCTCACGTCCGCCGGCCAGGGGCAGAAGAGGTAGAAAAGTCCCGAGAACCAGAGAAGGGTGGCTTCTCCACCCTGCCAAGCTTGACCTGGAAGGAGTGTGGGGGTCTGAGTCAATACACTTAAAATATGAAACCTCAGGTTTCCCTGAATCTAGCAGGCCTGGAAAGGGGCCGTTCCTCCCTGTTAAAGCCAGTACCTCTCCCTTACCTGAGGATGGCACAGAGACTTCTGCCTTCAAAACCCCATGGGCCTCTCTCAGAACCTCGCCCCGCCTCCTCTCTGGGCCACCAGGCTGATGGCTTGGGTTAAGTCCCATCCCTACCAGGCAGGAGAGCACTGGAGCTGCTCAGGGGAGAAGGGACAAGTCATGACGGAGCTGTAGGACCAGCCAATGGGGCTGGCAGAGGCCAGGACGGTGCTGAGGGGATGGAGCCGAGGTCAGGGGCTGGGTCAGAGGCAGTGCCAGAGGAACCTGGACGAGGGACAGTTTCTCTGCACAGAGCAGTCCCTCTCAGCACACTGGTGAGAACTCTGGGAGACGCACCAACACGCCACTAGGGTGGTCCTAGGAAGCTTGGAGAAAGTGAGGCCAACCCCGAGTGAACGATAAATGCTGGCACCTCCATGGCAGACAATGGAAGAGTGAGGAAAAGGCGGGAAAATCCACCAGGGGGCCGTTTTCTGTGGGACGGTCTGGAGGACATTCTGTTCACCAGAGTGAAAAGAAATGTGATGGTGAGGATGACCCACATCACATAGAGGGACACACAGAGGGCAGGGTTGGTGTCCTCATAGGCCAGGGCTGATAGCAGGAGATGCTATTCTAGAACCAGATCCCCCACAGAAATCAGAAAGCGGGCTCAAGTATTGTAATAAGCAGCAAGGCTGACATGGTACCCAGGGGGCCTGACCCACAGGGACCTTTGGACACAGCTGATAAACCAAAGGACCCTCGAGGGACAAACCGATGGGCCCAGAAAAGGTGCTTCTTAAGCTGTAGATCAAACAATACCAAGGGGAGATCATCAGGAAGTGGAGGGCAGCTGCCCCATCAAAGTCACCATCTCTACCCAACTTCCTGGGCCAGTTTTCAGACTCAGAATCCACTGAATGATGGGACAGTCAGGTCCCCAGAAACAAGAATTCACAGAAAGTGTACATGGTAATGATCCCTCCAGTTCCCCCACCAAAGAGCCTATAGCCATTTACTTGGCTAACTGTTCAGCAGATAAATGGGTAGACATCCTGGAACCAGGGTCCATGTTGTCATTGTTAACTAGGGACCCATCATGCTGCTGGGAGAGCATGTGGGTGACAAGCAGTGGCCCAGGTCTGGCTCACAGCACGTCCACCGGATCCAAGGCTCCCCCAGTCCCCAGGTGCATACCTGGCAGTTGGCAGAACCCTCATGTTGGCTCCTTGACCTGTGGGGTAAGAGCTACCATAGTGGGGAAAGCTAAGTGGAAGCCCGTGAACCTGACCCCCAACCTCCTCCAAGAGAGTATATCAAAAACCATAGTGCACCCTGGGAGAAAACAGAGATGAGGGACACTCTTAAAGGCCTAAAGGTTGCGTGGTGGTGACCCCATCACACCCTTCATTGAATTCAACAGGTGGGCCCCGATGACAACAAGACGGATCTGGGAGGAAGACAGGGAACTACCACAAACTCAACCAAGCAGCAGCCCAGTTGCGGCTTTTCTCGAGCAGGTTAACAGGCCCTCAGGTTGGTCGTATGTGGCCCCCGACTTGGCGAACGCGCCCTTGTCTACCGCTGCTGGGAAGGAAATGCAGAAGCCCTCTTCTTTCTCATGGCCGGACAGCAGCCTGCGTTTACAGCTTTGACCCTGTCGTCTCGCAGTAGGGGTCTGGACCATCGCACAGAACATTACGTTCATTCTCTACATTGATGACATCATGTTTAGCGGGCCGGACGAACAGGAAGTGGCCCAGGAGGCCTTGGTAAGCATATGTATTCTGGAGTACTGGAGATTAACCCCTGTGAAGAATCAGTGAAAATTCCAGGGTCCAGTAGTCTAAGGCATGCCAGGACATCCCCTTGGAAGTAAAGAGCAAATGATTGCATGTCATACCCTCCATCATGAAGACGAATTTTGGACACAGCCTATTCCGCATCCAGGAATATTGGTCCAATCCAGAGGCCAGGTGACATAAAAAGCTGCCAGCTTTGAGTGGAGTCCTGAGTGGAAAGGGCTGTGCAGCAGGCCCAACTATGATGCGGGCAGCCCGCCACTTGGGCCATAATACCTGGCTGACCCTACGGCAAGAGCGATATCTGTGCTGGGGGAAGATGTCACATGGAGTTTCTGGAAAACCCCAGTAGGAAAAGGATAACTTAGACCCCTAGCGTTCTGCAACAAGGTCATACCACCTGCAACAAATAAATATACAGCATTTGAAAATGGGCTCTGGCAGGCTACCAGGCCCTCCTAGAGCTGGAAGCCTTTGACCACAGGACATCAGGAGACCCATGCATCCAGAGCTGAACATTGTAACACAAAGCCTGTCAACTCCACTGAGTTACACTGTTGGGGGCGCCCAGCAGCAAACCACCCTGGATGGGAATATCACATGCAGGATTAGGTACAGTCAGGGCCAGAGGATACAGAACACTGCATCAGCAGGTGACCCAAATTCCCATCATCCAAGACTCCTATGCCAGCATCTCTCTCTTAGCTCACAGGTGTGGCTGCATGAGATGCCTTTATGATGATGTCAGAGAGAAAAAAAAAACTAAACTTGATTCAGGGATGGGTCAGCTTGGTATGGGGGTGCAGGGTACAAGCCAGAAATGGGATCTGCTTCCTTAGAGCCCCATTCAGAGGTGGCCCTGAAAGACGGCAGTGAAGGAAAATCCCCCCAATGGCTTCAGGCCATGCGGGTGATGGACCGTCCGATGTGTATGGAATGTGGGATGGCCTAAGGTACGAAGATACTGGCTCATGGGCAGTGCAGATGGCTTGGCTGGTTGGTCAGGAGGCTGGATGGAAAAGACTTTAAATGGGGGGGTGAGGAGGCCTGGAGAAGGCACATGTGGAGGAATCTAGGGGATAGGTCTAGAACGTGAAGGTCTTTATCAGTCATCAACACGCACGAGGGAGCACCCACCAGGGGAGGAAGGGGCTTGAAACAGCCAAGTAACAGACAGAATGGCTTTGCCAGGGTACACAGGCCAGCCGCTGGCATTGGTAGCCTCACTGATGGCACAGTGGGTGCATGAATCCAATAACCACAGTGGCAGGGATGGGAACTAGGCATGGGCCCGAGAGCGTGGGTTCTCACTTGCCAAGTCTGCCCTGGTGACTTCCACACCTGAGAGTCCAGACTTCCAGCATCAACACTAAGCCTGTGACACAGCACCGTCCCTCAAGGGGACCATCAGCTGTTGAGGCAAGTTGATTACATTAGAGCCCTTCTGTCCTAAAGGGGAAGTGATTCATCTTATTCTGAGTACAAGGTTGCTTTTCCTGCCCACAGGGCCTCAGCCAGCCCCAATTCCCAAGGGCTCACAGAGCATTTGACCCACTGATACACGACACCGTATGACATGGCATTGGACAAAGAGACCCACTTTACAGCAAAGGAGGTGGCACGGCGGGCACATGACTGCGAGACCCGCTGGTCCTATCATAGGCTGCAACACCCGGTAACCACCAGCCTGATAGAGTGGCGGAAGGTGAAGCCAAGGTGCAGCTTAGAGACAGCAATACCCCGTGAGGATGGGGCCTCAGGCACCAACCGTGATGCAATACACACTCTAAATCAATCACCATGACATGGTGCTGTCCCCAAGTGGGTAGACTACACGGGTCTGAGAACCAAAAGATGGAGCTAGCCATGGCAGTCATTCCCAATGACCCACTTGGGGATTTGGGGTACCTAGTCTCTGAGACTCTAAGATCTGTGGGTCCAGAGGTCCTGATTCCCAGAGCAAGAACACTCCCACCAGGAGACACAGCAAGAGTTTCGTTCAACAGTAAACCATGACTGCCACCTGGTCTGTTGGGGCACCTTCTGCCAAGGGAGCACAGCAGGAAATGGGTCGCCTTCTTGGCAGGTAATTGACCCTGATCACCAAGAGACACTTTGGCCCTGGGGACAGGTATATGTTTGGTTCCCTGCTGCTCCACTGGGACATCTCTTGGTAGCCCCTGCCCATTTTTTATGGTAACTGGACAAGTGCAGCAGCCTTAAATTGAAAAGGGCCTGAAGCCCAGACCCCTCAGGTTAGAGGGACTGGGACACCTGGCCAGGTAGGTGCCAGCTGAGGGAAAGGGGAATCTAGAACAGGAAGGAAATGACATGATTCAGCTGCAGCCCCCCATCTCGCTGCCATTCAGCCCACAAGCCTTCCCTTGTAAGGCTCCCTGGGAAAGAAACCACTCTGAATTCTAGGGGAGCTCTTCCTGCCGAGGTCAACTCATGATACCAAGCAAATGGGCACAAAGTGGTGCACAGAGTGGACAGAGTGGGGGCCACAGTGCACCCCCAGGCTCCACCTTCAAAGAGCTGGTTGCGGTGCTGCTGCTAACAATTCACAGCTGAGTCCCTCCTCAGAAATTTCCCTCAACTGAAGTTATAAGCCTCCCCTAAGGCTTCTGGTGACTAAGCCACACCCCCTGCCTCAGCTCGAGAGGACTCTGAGGGGCCCCTGCAACCCCAGAGCTCCAGGTGGGATCCGCTGAGGCTATCACACGTGCCTCACAGCTCGACATCTCCCTCTGTCCAGTTCTGTCCCCTCACCCCTCTCAGGAGCTGAGACCACGCCCCAAAGTCCTCCTGCACACAGGCCTCCATCTCAGAGTCGGTTTCCTGGAGACCCTGATCTGCAGCATAGCTCTTCCAGCCAGGAGGTGAAGCCTGGTGGCCAGTCTACCTCAGGGGCAGCTGCAAGGGAAGATGTAGAAATACGTGGTCCCCATTAGATTCTGGGGTCACCCAGGGAAACCCTTCAGCCAAGAAGCAGTATGGAAAGGTGGGGTGGCACCCCTGATTGGAGACCCCTCCAGCACAGCCATTCAACAAACAAATGGCTGTGGCACCTGGCTGACCTGAGATCAAAGCCCACTTGTGTCACTTACTGATTCTATGGCTGGGCAAGTCCCTATCTCTGGGCCCAGGTTTCTTCATCCATAAAGTGAGGATATTAATACCTGCCATGGTGGGGTTAAGCGGTCTAAACAGCGCAGGTGGGTGGGCTCTGTCCCCACCATATCTCTCAGCTCCGTGACAGCCGGCAGGCCCCGAAAAAAATCAGAACTGCCCATCTTGACGTCACCTGGCTTCCGCGACAAGTCTCTACACTTTCTCGGTGCTGGAATGCCAAGCTGAATGGCATATATTTCCAGACACTGGCCTTGGGGAGGCTCCCGGCAAGCTGGGCATAATAGGCCCAGACCCTCTCCTGCCCTCTCTCACGCCCCATGCCCTGACCCCAAAAGCCATGAGCATCCTAGGGGACAGTGTTGGGGGGAGAGCCAGGGGCCACCAGCGCGACATGGTCCCTCAGCATTGAAGACCTGGCAGAAATGCCAGAGTCCGTGGGGTGGAGGGTAGGAAGCTACATGGAAGGCGTAACCCCCAGCTGTGGAGTGGGGCGTGGGCCCTTTATCCCTGCACCCCCATCCAGCCTTCTGTCCTCATCTCCCCATGCAGTTCCCAATGACCTGCACAGAACCTCCTGCTAAGCCCATCCATGGTGGAGAAGAGAGGGCTAACAGCAGAAATGAATAAAGGGATGAGTGAATGAATGAGAGAGCAAATCAGTGGGTGAATAAGTGGGTGAAAGACCGAGACCCACCCCCTACTGAGTGGGGACGCAGCCACGTGCACGAGCACGGGGGCCACGCGTGGGGTGGCTGGCCCGAGCCGAGGCACACTCACCATGACGTTGAGGCCCTGGTTGGTGGGCCCCTGTGCCACGATGTACTCGATACCGGTCTCGTAGACGTCCATGGGCCGCCGGTACTTCACCACGGTGCCAGCGATGTTGAAGTTCTTGGGGCTGTCCACCTTGAAGTTGCCATTGAAGAAGTAGGAGCCGGCTTCATCTGCGAGGGCTGACAGTGCAAAGCCACCCGGTCACATGGGCCGGACCGGTGGCAGGGAGGGTGGAGGAACAGGGAGCAGCAGCAGCACATGCTCAGGGGACCACGGCCACCTGCCCCATGATCCTCCTCAAATACCGCGAAGACAGGAAACTGCACTCAGTGGGGAGCGGGGTGCCCTGTCTGTGGCCAGCTGTGGCCCTGGGCAGTGATTGCCAAGGACGTGCGAATACATTTTCCTATCGGCCTAAACTAAACAAGGACTGCCTAGGTGACTAAAGAGAGCTGGCCAGGGTCCCTTGGTCCCGTCATTCCGGCCGCCTCTGAAGGGGCGGGGGACTGCCAGGTGATGAGTAGCATCAGGACTAAGCGCCCAGGTCTGCAGCAGGAGGGTCAGTGCCTGGGAAGGCACACGCTGGACAACAGGTGTCGGCCAGGTAGGGCGGGGCTGAGCCTCCCAGCCTGGCTCTGCTGTAGACTCACCAGGTGACTCTGTGGGGGTCGCCACCCCCAGCATCCCACCCAGACATGGGGAGGGGACCTCAATGCCCCTCCAGGGCCCACAGTGAGCTACGCTGCAACCCGGGCCTGGCTGGCCTAGAGCGCTGTCCCAGCGGCCCCTGCAGGCCGGCCCTTCCGGACCACCCTGAGCTGACCAGCACCAAATTCTCTCGCTGGGAGCCATGACATTCAGCTATCTCTGCTGGCGGACCGGGCTGACCGCCGGCCTCCTCCATTCCCCAGGCATGGCTGAGAGCGGCCTGGGCACATCCTCAGCAGCCCTCTCTCTGAGGCGCGGTGCAGGTGGACAGCTGGAACGGAGGACCTCAGAAGGACGGCCACTCCCAGGGCCTGACTCCCAGGGCCTGATGATGCCCAGACAAAAGGACCGTGTGTGCAACCCCCAGCAGCCCGTCTCCTGCCGGCCTGGTGTGATGGTTCGGGGCAGCTGGCCCTCCCAGAGGTGTAGAGCATGAGCAGAGGCTCGGGGAGCCTCGGGCCGGGGGACAGGAGGGAGTGAGGAGGCAGGCTCCCTGCTAGGGACAGTGTGTCTTCCAGAGGGTGTCCTAAGAGCCAGTTCTGGGAACAGGCCGGAGAGACGGAAGAGCTCATCTTCCAAAGCTACGGACACAACAGGCAGGGGAGCCGGGCCGTTAATTGATTATCAGGCAGGACGCACAAGCCTGACACGTCTGCTAGAAAAATGCCCTCAACGTAGCAACGTCATAAAATAACGTGAATGAGCCCAAGCTGTGCGCGGCGGGGCGCGTGCCGGGGCGGCTGTCTCGGCCCCGCTTCCAGGTCTGCGAGCAGGGTTAACCCCCCGGCCTGCATCCAAAACCTGTTTCCTGACAGTAATGACCTTCCTTCCTGCGCCTTTCCCAGGGCTCCGTCAGAGGCCGCCCTTGATATTTCCATGCATCTGTTTCAAGAACGATTGCTTTACAGCCAGCTCTGGGAACACGGCGTTTCCTGGCCTCACCACTCTCCCAGCGGGCGACAGAGCAACGGGCCTGGCAGAGGCCTGGCTCCCGCACTCAGGTGCTGGGGCCTGGGGACTGGGGACAGACCGGCCAGAGTGGGCGCTGAGAGGCCGGCCAGTTTCTACCTTGAGGACCTTTAGAAAAGCCCCCCACCATGTCCACTTAGAAGGGTGGGCTTCCCCCGCCAGCCCAGGCCCTCACAGGGCCACCCTGAGATGCGGGAAGGCAAGCCAGGCTTGGGGACAGCTTCCATCCTGGGTCCTCGTCCTGTGTCGCACAGGACAGAGCCAAGCACAGAGCAGCTCACAGGTGTCAGCACTTGCCCACCTCAGCCAGAAGGGCCTCGGGTGGCCCTTAGGGGTACAAACAAGGCACACGGCCAGGCCAACATGCCAAAGCCTTCCTAGAATTGTCACCAACATGGGGCCTCGCCACCTCGGCCACTATGCAAATAACTCCACAATCCTCAAGTTGGAGGACCCTTACCAAGGTGGGAACCAGAGACCATCCAGTGGCAAGGACACTAACTCAAAGGCCCCCAGACCTGTGTCTACATCCTACATCCGCCCATGGCCTCAGACTGGCCACGTACCTCTACTCACGCTGCCTCGACCTTATCGCCTCCTGAGTCTCCTCTACCACAGGGGCAGGGACCCCACCTAGTACCTCCAGCTTTTGCCAGGCTCTCCAGGAATGGGGACTTTATTATCTGACGTCACCCCACCCTCCGTGGCCAAGCAGCTCTGAGTACGAGGTCCTTCCACACACGGAGGTGCCGGCTCCCCTGCGACCACCCCCCACACACACTCAGGTTGAGCGCTGGCTTCTGGGGCCCACCCTCCTCTGCAGCAAGGGATCCAGGGTCAAGTACCCCTTCTCCACCCACACACTTTGCCCCATGGCCCCACATACGTACCCAGGACGTCGGCGGACTTCTTCCTCTCTACAATCTGGATGTCTCGGGCACCGGCCGGGATGTGGGTCACCAGAGAGTAACCTGGGGGAGATTGGACGATGGTGAGACGTAGGTCCAGCTGTGGCCACCGCCTCTCAATTGGAAAGGCAACCCTGGATGGTGCGCACCACTCCCCTCCCCTCCTAGAGGGTGAAGGGTGCTGTCCAGCCGCACCCAGGCCCCAGAGGCGAGTCCAAGGCCCTGCCAAAACTCCCCGTGCCATCAGAGGGTTGACCATCGCCCAGGTCCAGGCCCAGGTTTACCCGGGTTCCCTGACCCTTTCCTACCAAGGCCATGGGTGACGCTCATCGGTACCTGCCCAGTTCTTCTGAGAGACACCACAGGCCACAGGGGCCTTACGTCTGCTGCAGTCAAACAGACTCGTATCCCCGAGGTGACCCTGTGCGGGGTGCTGCAGCCCTCAGGCCTCAGATTCCTCATCTGTACACAAGGATAATAGCCCCACTCTAGGCCTGTCAGATTCTGCACAGCACATAGCCTGGCCCCAAGGGCATTGTCACTATTTATATTCTTAAAACTCATGTTGTCACAACATGAAGTTGACTTCAAAACTTTCTACATTCAAAGATGTGATGAGAAAGTCCGAGGCCAGTTCAGGGCTTGTCATCGAAGCCCCCCATCAGGTGGGGAGGCAGCTAGAAGACCTCTACAGAGATCCCCAACAAATGGACCAAGGGCTGCAGGGGGCAGGGGTCTGAAGGAGAGGGGAGTGCTGCCAGCAGGTGGTGGAGGGTGGTCTGGGAAGAAGGAAGAGAGATTTTTCTAAGCCCTAAAATACAGAAGTCTTCCATAGGAAGATGGGGGGCAGCACCTCAGAAATCAGGTTTGCTGGGTTGATGCTCACACCACAGGTTCCCACACGAGAAGTGGTAGAGCCCATGCACACCTGTCTACCCAGGTGAGCTGCTCCAACAGGCCAGCTGCATGCGCCGTTCCCCCGCCTGCCCTGCCACCCTTACAGGTCACTGAAGGCTCTGAGCCTGTCCCTCCCGGGCAGCAGTGTTACAGTTAACACCTGGCTGTTTTGGTGGGCGGGCAGGAAGAGGCCTGATCTGTAGTGCTGGCTGACTACCGTGGTGTAAACACTCCCACCTTGGCTCATAGCTGCCAACGCGATGTCACTGGGTACAGAGTTGGGAAGAGGTGCACCTTAGCTCACCTGCTGCCACACATTTCCACTGCAGAGGTACAACAGTTACAAAGGTAACCCGATTAGGAAGTGACGACTCTGCTTAGCATCACTTATTTAAATGTAGGCTTATATGCGCTAGTTTTTAAATTAGCAGCCCACTCACAAGATCTCTGAGCATCAGCTCTCACACCCAGCAGGGTCCTCACCGTGGTTAGAACGCACACCTTTATTAGGGAAGGGTGTGAGCAGTGGTTAGGACCACAGACCCAGAGCCAGGCCGTCTGGGTTCAGACACAGCTCTGCCACTTCTGGCTGTGTGTTCTTAGCTAGTTTCTCAACCTCTCATCTTTTCACATCTGCAAAACAACAACAGTGGTAGCACCTGCCTGGCAGAGGTGTTGTGAGGTGTGAATGAGTGAAGACTCGTGCCAGACCTGGCTCGGTGCGCAGTAAGCACCTGGTACAGTTGTCAGGATTGTTGAGGTGTCAGCCCCCGGCCCCCCACCTGAGAGTTCTGAGGGCATGAACCTTGTCTATATAAGGCCTTCCTGCAGCCCACAGTGCCTGGCACACAGTAGGTGCTCAGAAAGAGATTCACTGCCTGGAGGCTGCCTCTGCCGCCTCCATGCCCAGGGACCTGGCAGACGGTCCTGCAAGCAAGTTTGTGAAGGGAAGCGGGGAATGGCCAGGTGCCTTTCCTCACGCCCCTCCCATAGTGAGGCCTCCAAAGAAAGTGGTCTCTGCCGGCCACGCATTACTCAGACCCCTGTCCGGCTGCTCTGTCCTGGGCCCTCCATTAAAGACACCCTATCCCTCTCCAGTCCTGCATACCCACCCCTGGGTTCCATGTCCATAATACTAACCCTGAATTTACCCCTCTTGTGGGAATGGAGGCAGTCCCCTCCACATCCAGGACATGGCCAGAGTCCTGACAGCTATGTCCACTGTGGCCCTCATGGCATTGGTTCTAATCCAAACTCGCCTGGCTTCACTGGGGGACCTTGAGCCAGCAAGTCCCATTCTGGGCCTCGGTTTCCCCAAGTGCTCGGTGGGTTCCAAGCCTCCCTGCCTCTCCTAATCTGCAGGCTGTGATAACCCAGTTTAATCCCACAAGCATTTACTGAGACCCAGAAATATGTTCAGTTTGATGCTGAGTGTTGTGAATGACACCCTCCTGAAAGAACAGAGTCCTGTCATGTGCACAGACCCCTGCCCACCTCCAGCTCCCACAGGGCTGGGCCGCAGCTGGAGCAACGCAACGTGAGGCCAAACGGGTGCAGCTATGAAAATGGACACATTGCTGCCCAGGAAAGGGAGGGGCCAGCTCTTGGGGCTGGGGTCGGCCTGGAGCGGCACGGGCCTCTGCACCCCTTCCACCCTCCAAAACGCGGACTCTGCAAAACAGAGGGCCCCAGAATCCGCGTGCCCAGGCTCAGACCTCCTGTCAGCGGTGAGGATGGGAGTCGTGCCTCAGTGTCCCCTCGTTAAGTATGACATTACTATCTCCCTGCGTTGCTGCAAAGGTCACACATGGCCCCTAAGCCAAGTGTGTGCTGGCACCTGGTGTCCAGTAGGTGCTCAACAAAGAGCTGCTCATTATTCCTAGCCAAAGGGGGCCTTACAGAGCACCTGGCCAGACCACCTGGGCCCAGATGGAGGATCCGGTAGCCCACGAGGGGCAGGAACTGGCACAGTGGCTCTTAGCAGGTTGGAGACGGGATCACCCCCGGGACCCTGGTGGCGGGAGTGCCGTGTTCTTACCGAGGTGGGTGTTGCCCTTGCGGTAGTTGCCTGTCACGTGGGTGCAGCTGCTACCGTCCCCCTGGCAGACGCCGCACTTGTCCAGCGTGTGGGTGGAGAAGAGCACCCCGTCACAGCCGATGGGCTGCAGGAAGGGAGGTGGAGAGGGCTGCTGGGAGGGCGCCGAGGCTGCCACCGCCACAGGTGGACAGGTGGGCGGTCAGCACAATGAGACCAGTGGTACTTGGGCTACAATGTTTAACAACCTCACATTTTCCAGACACGCAAACCCCTCGAAGGTCAGTGAGCTTGCAGGACGTGCCGTCGCGGGCAGGGACCATGAGCTGCCGCTGGCCGTCCACCGTGGTGCAGTGCAGGTCACATGGCTTGCTGGAGATGTGGACGTAGTCATCTGCGGGGGTGGGAGGAGCCGGGGTCAGGGATTCCTCTCTCTTACTGAGACAGCCCTCCCCCATTGCACAGATGGGAAAACTGAGGCCTGGAGAGTAGGAGGAACTTGCCCAGGGTCTGGTGGCAGGAATTAATTGAGTTGCTGGTCGTCTGACCCAGCCCAGGCGCTGTGAGTTCCAGCCTTTGCCTCCTTGTGAAGAGGGGGACAGTTCTCCCTCTGCAGGAGGTCTGAGCCAATTGGTGGCCCTGGGCACCCCTGCACTCACCCCATGAGTGCGAAAGGCCAGTTGCCTGAACTACTTGTGACCTCCAACAAGACCCCTTCCTCTGGGCCTCAGTTTGCCCACCTGCCCACCCCCTGGACGAGGATATTCCCTCCCATTGTCCCCAGGAGGTGACCCATCAGATGTGGGTCTTTCCGGGATGTGGAAAGGCCACCCCCACACTCTGGTCCCCGCTCGGTGGCCCAGGGCCGTGGTACCGGGGTACAGGGGCTTCCACTGGTGCGTCCGCCCGTTGTACACGTGGGAGTTGAAGGAGATGCACTGCTCCTCACGGAAGCTCCTCCCGTCCGGCGGACACTCCTGGGAAGTGAGAAGACGCGGAGGGAGGAACTCGGCCCGACAAAGGCATTTTTGTCCAGGCTGAGCAGGAAGTGGCCACAGCCGGAGGGGTGGCCTCTCCTTTCTGTCTCCCAATCTCACTCTCTCCGGGAAGGAGCGAGGACAAGCGGAAGGGCAGCTACCATCCCTCAAACGCCCACATGTGCTGGCCCTCCTGGTGCTCTGGGCGGGACCCTTTCATCTCGCCGCCCCCCCAGCCTTCTCCAGGCCTCTCCGCCTCTCCTCTGTGTTCACATGGGCTCCTCAATCGCCGCAGCACCTGGAACTCAGCGCTTGACTTCACAGAGGAAGAGCCCTGGGGGGCGGGGGCGGAGCGGCTGGTCATGCTGGGACTGGAATGCGAACTTGAATGGGTTTCCCTCCGGAGCTCAGGAGGGTCCAGGAGGGCAGCTGACAGTGATGCCAACATAGAAGCTGTGGCTGCTGGGCTCCCTTCAGCCCCCTAACTCCCCGCGTGCATGCCTACAGACACACAGATACCGGGACACACACAGGGACCCCAACAGCTCCGCCTGTCTGCCCCACTCCCGGGAATTCAGGTTCACACTGGATTTGGCCCCACTAATCGCTGCCCAGAGACCAAGCCAGAGTCGACACCTCCTGCCCAGCCCCAGCCACCTCGGTGCCAGCACACCAGGGTTAAGGGAGAAGCGAGAGGCTGAAGGGTCCTGAGCGCAGGTGCTAGCACAGGGGCGACTGGAGCTGTGCTACAGTGTTTCACAGGTGGGGACAAGACACCTAGTGACTGTCATTCTCCCAGCGAGCTCCTGGTGCAGGACTTGTGAGCAAATGGGGGCTTCGGCCAGAAACCCAAACCTTGGGGCCGAGCGTCAAGCTCCCCCAGTAGAAGCGAGTCTTCTGGTGGCTGCACATGCCAGGAGCCCTCAGTGGGGCTCCACAGATCTGATTTGGTGCAGGAAGTACGCTCTGGCCCAGGACCCCTCACCACCCTTCTCTTCAACAGGACACAAGGGGCAGGCCCAGGACAGCGTGTCCAGAGGGCCCAGGAGCCATCAAGCAGACACCCTGAGACCTGCCGGATGGGGCAGGAAGAGGAGGTCGTGGTCCCAGCTGGGGCCTCACCTGTACTCTGCACAGTTGGTACCGCTTGGACGTGCCTGTGCAGGTCCTGTTCCCGGCACCCGTGACAGACGTCCTCCTGGCGGAAGGGAAGACATAGGCTCTGAGCTAGTGCCGGAGCCACCAGCTGCAGGCCCCGACCCTGCTCCTGCTCTGGGATGGCCTCTGGGCTGGAACCCCAAGCCGCCCCCGAGTCCTCTGACCAAGGGGTCCTTCCTTCTCACTCAACCCTCCATTCTACCACAGCCACCCTCATCTCACAGGGGTTCAAGCAATTCGAAGGTGTTTCTCAGCCCCTTTCTGGGGGGAAGGACGCTATCCGATTCACCGCTATATCCCCACCACATAGCACAGGGTCTTAGTACACAGAATTAATAATAATAACATTTACCAGGTACCAGCCCTGTGCTAAAGTGTATACACACAGTCTCAGAAATGTCAGGTGGGCTCAAGCAATGAGCTCCACCCCACAGATGAGGAAACTGATGCTCAGAGAGGTTAGGTGACTTGCCCAAGGTCACACAGCTAGCAAGTGGCAGAGGCGAGATTGGAACCCAGGTCTGTCCAATGGTAGCTCCTACACCATATGCTTTCCCCCGTATTTATTCCATTCAGGTCTTCAGGAGAGGAGGTCAGGTTACGCCTCACTCCTCACCGATAGAGCCTTAGACATGGACCCTGTTTCCTCATGAAAGGCCTGTCCCCAGTGCCCTGGTGCAGGAAGAACCCCAGGACGCCTTTGCCTGAGACCTATCAGGAGCCACATCCCTCACAGAGTCGTCACCTGGCCTGTGCTGAAGACACCCCCTGAGATGCCCGCCTGTCACCCACTGCCCCTAGCTGAAGACTAGCTGCCCACCTCCCAGGCCTCCCTTTGCTGTCCAGGCTGCCCCACCCTCCGGCCAGCCCCTCAGGGCCCCGTGCTCAACCCCGCACCTCTGCTGCAGGCAGTGCCGCTCCTGGGACGTCACCCCGGCCCCACAGCTGCGCGAGCACGCCGTCCACTTGGTCCACTCCCCCCACCAGTAGGCAGTGGCGTCCACGCCCCCCTCCAGGCTGTTGGACGTAGGGCTGTTGTCCTGGGTGAGAAGCCCCACACAGGGTTAGAAGGCTGGAGCACCGGGCAGGACAGGCCGGCCTTCCCTGGGCCCTGGACAGGATGGGTCACTTGGCAGCCTGGGCTCAGGTTTCTGGGTGGGCGGGGTGTCTCGGAGGGGATTCCCAGTGAGTGTGGGCCTCAGGCCCTCCAGATCTCGAGCCCCGGAACATTCTGGGAGCTCAGCAGGGTCCTGAGGACACACCTAACTGACCTGACTCCTTTCTCACAAGCAGCGCAGGACCTGGCATGGGTTCTGCAGGACACAAGCCCACCCCGTCTGTGTGTCTCACCCCAGGGCTCTCAGCCCCGCAGCGCAGGCCCCGTCCTGCCAAACGGCAAGTGCTCCAGAGTGACCAGAGGCCGCGGCGAAGGGGCGGGTCTGACTAGCTTGTAACACATGTTCCTGGCAGCCGAGGGGGGCTTTGGGAAGGCTCCCCAGGACCTGTGCACATGTTCCCCACACCTGCCGCACAGCCCCTCCAACATCAGCCCATCTGGGTGAGAAACCACGCTCCCCACTCACCGTGGCCCCGGTGGATGCCACACCCCCAGCCGTAAGTGCCATAGCCAGCAGAGACCAGGCCCAGCATGAAGGCTGCCGTCTGCAGTCCATCCTAGGAAGCAAGGCCACTGTCACTCCCAGGCCAGGCCCCGCTTCTTCGTCAGCTGACCAGGGTCCACTTTGGGGAAAAGCCCTCAGGGCCCACCCAGTGCCAGGGCCATGAGGTTATCTGGGATCAGTTGGTAGAGGCTGCCCAGTGGCCCCGTTGGGAGGGCTCGGTGAGTGATTAGCGATGCCTGCCATGGGCTGGAAACACAATAGTGGGGGTGTGCATGCTATGCCTGCACCACCCCAATCTGAGGGCACTCAGGGACAGGTGCCGAGCTTTGTCCCTGAACACCTGAGCTCCCTGGAGAACGCCTGTGGAGAAAGCCCGGGACAGCCGAGGGGGCCGTGGGCTCAGGCTGCGTCCATTGGATGAAGGAGCTGAGGACCTGGACTGGGTCCATTGCCTTGGACTATAGACCCGGCCCAAGCAAGAGCACCTTGGGATTTTTACCTGCTCGGAGCTTGCTGGCTGCATGGGAGAATGACTTTCCCCACTGGCCGTGTGGGCTGGCTGGAGGGGTGCGTCCATGGATGTCCCCGGCTCCACCAGGCCCTTCCCTTCCCTGGCCACAGCTCCCCCCTGACCCCTGAGGAGGCTGAGCCTGGGGCCCTCGGGGACCCCAGGCTGGGCAGAGCCTAGGCATCTGTGACCCTGGTGTGTGGCATGCGGGTGGCCCAGGGCCATAGGGCCGTCTCCTCAGCAAGTCAGTACCCCAGCCCAAAACGCTACTTGACCTCTCTGCCAGGGGCGGAACCAAGGGGCGCCTCCAGCCTCCTGGCCCTCAGCCTTCCCATCTGCTTCCTCGGCGGGGACCCCTGCCCCTCAAAGGGAGAAACAGAGTCCCTTAGTGGCCCCTGTCCAGGGTTTGTCTCAGGTCCTGAGTATCACTTGCCAGCAAGTTTGAGAAGGGGTTTCAGAAACCACCAAGCCTGTCCCCCTGTAGCTGGGAACTCAGAGAGGGAAGCCAACTTCCCCACAGCCACACAGCAAGGTGGTCAACTAGCCCCCCCAGACCCCAGAGCAAACTCAGGGACTCATCCTCTGCACTGAGCTATTTCCTGGGAAAGAAGGTGTGAAAATCCCCCAACCCCTGCCAAGAGCCCTGAAACCTGTCTCTTCCTCTGAACCCTCACTTCCTTGCAGCTCAAACACCTGCAGAGTCTCAGGACCTAAGCCAACAACATCCTTGCACCCCAAAAACGGCTCTGCCCTGGTCGAGTTAGCGGTGCACCCTGGAGTTAGGATCTGGAGTCCTTGAGACCCCCACCTCACCAGCTGCCTGCCCGCCCAGTGGCAGCCCCTCCCCCCGCAGGCCTCCATTTGCACCCCCCACCAGCCTCAGGCCGGCACAGAGCCCCCTCCGCAGTCCCATTGGCTAATTGGTGCCCCAGCTCCTGCCTGCGGGCTGAAGACAGGTGCTGAGCCGGCCCCACACTTGGTTTTCATTAAGGCTCCAGACACCGCTGGCCACAGGCCAGGCCCAGCTCACGCGGGATCCAGCCCTCCCTGGGGTCCAAAAACAGCCACCGGCCAGCGCGAGAGGCTCGCTCTGCAAAGCAGAGCTTCAGGCACCCGAGGCTGGAGGCTGAGGGGCCACCCTCGCAGTGCTCTGAGGGTCTGCACCCCTCCCCACGGGCCCTCCTCCTGTTACATAACAGCTCCAAGGGGGTTGGGGGATGCTCAAGGCTCGGCTGCACACTGCGCCCAGGGAGGGCTGCGGAGGGAAGCGGACGGACAGGGCGGAGGGGACCTACCTGGCCCGGGTCAGCAGGTTGTCCTCCTGGAGAAAGGGCTGAGTGGCTGTGGGCAGGCGGCGCCAGGTGCTTGGTGCAGGGGGCGGCTGGGCGTGCGGAGAGCTGTGGGCTCTGCCTCTCCCCTCCTCCTCCTCCCCCTTGCTGCCGCCCTCCTCCACTTCAAAGAGCACCCACGAGAGGGGGTTCCCAGGGAGGCGTGCAGCCCAGTGGCGGCTGTGTGGCGCGGCCGCCTTTATAGCTGTCAGGCAGACAGGGAGGAACTCACACTTCCCACCAGGCTGGTCCCCCGCCCGCCGCCGGCCGGCCTGGCGCACACTTTAACCCGCTCCGCGCCTCTGGAGCCCGGCCAGGCCGGCCCAGCTGCCTGCTGACTGCTGCCTGGGCCCAGGAGCAGCGAGCAGGGAGGCCGCCTTCCCGGGTCCAGAGCTCGCGATCGCGTGTCCGGGTGTCCAGACAGAGAAGCCACTAGCCTGGGGTCACAGGGGAGGTCCGGCCTCAGACTGACGATTTCTGCCTAGAGGGGCCTGGTCTCCGGCACTGCAGAGANCTGGGGGAGCAGAGCTCGGGTGCACATGGCCTTGTGGTCTCCTTGAAAGCTTGGACGTCACCCCCAGGGCTGCGGGCGCCTTGGAAGGTACTTAAGCAGAAAAATGACATAAGCAGATGTATCGAGCAGGATCTTTCATTGCAAACAGCAGAAATGGGCTCCAGACAACTGGAGACACACAAAGGATTTCTGGAAAGGTGTGAGGGGGCTTCCAGGTGGAAGGAAGGACAGAGCGGCCAGACCTCAGGAGGCCAGGACGAAGCCGCAGCGCTCTCTTGGAGGAGTGAGATAGGTCAGCACCAGTCGTCCTGACTCCTGCTGTCCCCGCACTCCAGATTCCAGCTCCTGGAGGACAGAGAGGTGGCCTCTCCACGCAGTGGACTACTTACTGCCCACCCAGCAGCCCAAGGAACAAGCCACTTGACACAACATGGGCGAATCTCAGACATTGTCCAGTGAAAGAAGTAAGAGAAGCCAGTCCCAAAAGAACGCATACATGACTGCGTGATTCTCCCTCTAGGAAGTCCTAGAACAGCGGCTGCCTCTGCTGGGGGTGGGCGGGGGAGGCCCTCACTGCAAAGGGCACGGAGAACATCCTGGGGCTATGGGGGTGCTGCGGCGGTCACACACACGTATATGCACTTGTCAAAAGTCCTCAAGCCGTATGCTCCAGCTCTGTGCATTTTGTCCTACGTGACATCATTATATCACGATGAAGAAAATAAAACAGGAGTAGAAGCTGTTCTTTTGCAGACAACGAACACATAAATGAGCGAGTCAATCAATTAAGCAAGCAGTCCAGGGTGAGAGTCAGCCTGGGTGGCTCACACTTCTCCGTCACTCCTTGGCCAGAGGATAAGGGGGCCCCCTGCCAGGCAGTTCCCCCAAGACCTCTTGCAAAAAGGGAAGGTAATGTCCTGAAGGCCTGCCAAGGAATGCCGCCGAGAAGGCAAGCATCGGCCTGGTCCTGAGGATGCTCGTAGAGGTGTCCTATTTACTTCAGGTGTGAAACAATGCAACCAGGTCGAAAAGAATGTCAGGTTCGTTCATCTAGCCACCAAGGAAACCCAGCTGGGGAAAGAGCAGGCGAGTGAGAAGCACCGTGCAAGTGGGTTGTAAAGTGTGAAACTTATCTACAAGGTCCTTTCAGTGTTTAGAACTGACTAAACCTTGCTTTCTCTCACCTCCAGCCACCTGTGGACACGGGACTCTAGCCGTGGAGTCAGCTGGGTCTCTCATCCTGAGCTCCCGAGCGCCCTGGGGAGGGGTCCAGGGTGGAAAGCGGCTGGGAGTTGGGGACTGCACTCATGGGGACTTTTCTCCAAGGTTGTCGCCTCAGAGAAAAGGAGCATGGTCTCCCTGAATGACCAACCCTGCCCTCTCAAAAAAGAAAAAAAAAAGTCAGCGACAAGTGCTGACCACGTGGTGCCTCAGCTGTTGGAGCCTCTCCATGAGCCGCACGACATGTGCACTCCTACCCCAGCCTCCCATCAGGGCATTTAAACCACAGCTGCTATCAGAGCCCCCGCTGAAGGGAGCAGGCCTTCTCCCTTTGGGGCCCCGGGCGGCCTGCACCCAGCCCCTCTCCCCAGCCAGCGTCTTCCTCCCCGGCCCATGGGGACTCTAGTGGCGAAACTGCTCCTGCCGACCCTCAGCAGCCTGGCTTTCCTTCCCACCATCAGCATCGCTGCCAAGAGACGATTCCACATGGAGGCCATGGTCTATCTCTTCACCATGTTCTTCGAGGCGGTGAGTCTGGGGCGGGGGGCGGGAGCTGGGAGATGGAGTGGGGAACAGACCCTACTGCACAGGGCACCCTCCCGCAGGCAGAGGAGGCCAGTCTTCCCACTGCTGTCCTGTATTTTGTGAGGAATAAAAGTGATTTGCAGGTGAAAGAAAGAGCCCAGAAACCAGGAAACAGGGTTGGGGGAGCCCTCTGGACCTCAGTTTCTCCCCCCCCCNCCCTCACTTCCTTGCAGCTCAAACACCTGCAGAGTCTCAGGACCTAAGCCAACAACATCCTTGCACCCCAAAAACGGCTCTGCCCTGGTCGAGTTAGCAGTGCACCCTGGAGTTAGGATCTGGAGTCCTTGAGACCCCCACCTCACCAGCTGCCTGCCCGCCCAGTGGCAGCCCCTCCCCCCGCAGGCCTCCATTTGCACCCCCCACCAGCCTCAGGCCGGCACAGAGCCCCCTCCGCAGTCCCATTGGCTAATTGGTGCCCCAGCTCCTGCCTGCGGGCTGAAGACAGGTGCTGAGCCGGCCCCACACTTGGTTTTCATTAAGGCTCCAGACACCGCTGGCCACAGGCCAGGCCCAGCTCACGCGGGATCCAGCCCTCCCTGGGGTCCAAAAACAGCCACCGGCCAGCGCGAGAGGCTCGCTCTGCAAAGCAGAGCTTCAGGCACCCGAGGCTGGAGGCTGAGGGGCCACCCTCGCAGTGCCCTGAGGGTCTGCACCCCTCCCCACGGGCCCTCCTCCTGTTACATAACAGCTCCAAGGGGGTTGGGGGATGCTCAAGGCTCGGCTGCACACTGCGCCCAGGGAGGGCTGCGGAGGGAAGCGGACGGACAGGGCGGAGGGGACCTACCTGGCCCGGGTCAGCAGGTTGTCCTCCTGGAGAAAGGGCTGAGTGGCTGTGGGCAGGCGGCGCCAGGTGCTTGGTGCAGGGGGCGGCTGGGCGTGCGGAGAGCTGTGGGCTCTGCCTCTCCCCTCCTCCTCCTCCCCCTTGCTGCCGCCCTCCTCCACTTCAAAGAGCACCCACGAGAGGGGGTTCCCAGGGAGGCGTGCAGCCCAGTGGCGGCTGTGTGGCGCGGCCGCCTTTATAGCTGTCAGGCAGACAGGGAGGAACTCACACTTCCCACCAGGCTGGTCCCCCGCCCGCCGCCGGCCGGCCTGGCGCACACTTTAACCCGCTCCGCGCCTCTGGAGCCCGGCCAGGCCGGCCCAGCTGCCTGCTGACTGCTGCCTGGGCCCAGGAGCAGCGAGCACGGAGGCCGCCTTCCCGGGTCCAGAGCTCGCGATCGCGTGTCCGGGTGTCCAGACAGAGAAGCCACTAGCCTGGGGTCACAGGGGAGGTCCGGCCTCAGACTGACGATTTCTGCCTAGAGGGGCCTGGTCTCCGGCACTGCAGAGAAGGGAGTCTGGGATGTGTGAAGCATCCAGTGTGAGAGCTCCACTTTTCGGATGGGAAGACTGAGGTTCCCCCCAGCCAGGCTTGGAAAGGTTGTCCCAAGGAGCAGAGGCCTAAGCAAGTGGAGGGGCTGAGGGAGACCCAGACGGCCAGGCGGCCAGAATGGCCAGGGCCAGTGGGGGGAGGGGGTGCGGAGGGGAACTCTGTGTAGATGTTCAGCACCAGCTTGGCGGGGCACCGTGGCCTGGCTGGGTCCAGGCCAGCTGGGCAGCCCCTGGCAGGCCAAGCTCGGGGCTCCAGGCCTGTGTTTCTGCTGAGTCAGAGCGTGGAGCTGAGACGAAGCAATCATCGCATGCCCCAGCCCCCGGGGACGCAGGCAGACCCCAGGCTTTGCAAGTCTGCACCTGAAGCAAAGCCGGGGACACACACACCGCTTGCATGCTAGGGTCCCCAGAGCCCATCCTCCTGGAACACAGAGGCACCTCCAGATGGTGGGGGGGGGAAGCGAGGCTACACTTGGTAAGGTCATCTGAGTCATTTCATCTGTCCCCCTCTGTGCCACAGATGTCACAGGCCACAGGGGCACCTGGAAAACCACTCCCCTCCCCTCCGTCTCCCTGCCGGAAGGGACTGTGGTGAGCTCCTTCAGTGGCCTCCTTGGCAGCTGAGAATGACTCCACCCCTGGGCAAGTTCTGCCCTGAGTCTGGCTGCCAACAGGAACGGTCGGGAGGAGCGCTACCCGTAATAGTAGTACAAACAACAATGCTGCCGCCCTGTACTGGCTTCTTCCTATGTGCCAAGAGCTATGAGCTCAGCATCTCTGTTATCCCCATTTCACAGGTGGAGAAACTAAGCTCCGAGACTGAGTGATACCCAAGGCCACTCATCTAGCAAGGGGCACAGCAGGGACCCCAGCGCTCTTCCGGATCGGATGCCTCCTCTCCTGTCTGCCTCGTGTCTATCAGGTTGTCTCATCATCTTCATCCTCCCTGGAACCCTCTGGGAGACAGGTCTTATTCGCCCTGTTTTCTTCTGGGGCCCCTGGGATGTTTAGTGGAACCAAGACTCGAACCCAGGAACACACTGCCCCCTGGGGTTGATGTGCTGCAGTGCAGACACCTGGCACCGTCATGCACACACCCACGCGCACTCACACACACTCGCCACCTTTCACAGACACAATATAGATCATTCTTACTCGGGAAGCCACTGCCCCGTTCCCTCTCCCCCAGCCACGCCCAGGGCCCTGCACCTCCAGCACCATCCTGAGCTCCTCATCCAGCCAACATCAGGGTGACTAATGGCTTCCTTTGGGAGGGACCCCACAGCCAACCACCGACCAGACAGTGTCTGGAAGGCAGGCCTGCTACACCCCTCCCCCCACTTTGTGACCTCCTGCAGGTGTGTGGCCCTGAGCTCCCAACCCATCCCACCCTCTATCTCCAGGAGCCTGCCAGGCTCCCCCCAGGTGCCAGCAGAGAGCCCCCAAACTCCAAACCTGCCGGGAGCTTGAAAGGCTGCTTGATCCACTGGTGACCTGGAGGTGTCAGGGGGAGACACCTGGAGTCAGGGAAGGCTTCTGGGGACCCTGAAACCCTACGAATTTGGAGAGATGAAAAATAAAGCACAGGCAGGAATCGCTCCGCCATGCCCAAGTGTGAAGCTGCTGTCAGCCATGTCGAGAGCTGGTCAGGGTGGTCCTCCTGGCCAGGCAGGCCTTAGCGGCCCTGGGGAGCCACCTCATGGAGGCCCAGCCAGGCTTACAGGGCGGGAACCCAGTCACTGGCTGGCTGCACCGCCAGTGACCAGAACAGCAAAACAGCCCGTGCTCAGAGGGGCCTCGTCTGGCGTCATGCTCTGCGGTCACCATATTGAAAGTCTTAATAACATTAGCCTCGAATTCGTGTTCTGGAAGTGATGTCCGAT